CATATCCGAGGCATCCATTCAGACATTCCGCAGGCGAGTACAATTGTTTGATTCACAGGGGCACAATGTCGGCTTTTAAAATAGAACAAAAATCATTCGAGAAGGAATCAGCATCAGTTTGCGACATTTAAATGTGCTGGCGGCGCTTTTGGGCCCGCCATTTGCATCCGAGATCGCGTTGATCGGCCATCTTGCTGCGTTTTTTTTTGCCGCCAACGCGGTCTCGTAAGTTCAGTGCACACCAAAGTCCTTTATTATTGTTATTTTCTTATTTATTATTCATTTCTTTATTTCGAGAAACTGTAGGAAATTCTGAATTTGTTGATACACCTTCAGGAATAGGTGTACCTACTATTAGGTCTTTGTTTTGCTATAAATTAGGTGAACTAGATCGCCTTGAAAGGGTGGTCAAGGGCAGTGATCTAAATGAAATTAGGTATTGAATGATAACACTCTTTTTATACCATAGGGTTGCAAACAAGGAGACGAATGACTTGACTGACTGACAACGGATGAGTAAGAATTACGAGTGCATTACCAGTGTTTTGGGGGAAGAACCTCTGATACCCAACCTCTCTCACTCGGCGATACACATCGGATTTATTTTAAATTTTTCGAATCCGGTCGAGGCAGGCAAATCGTTCTGAGGCATGCGTTTTACTATTCAGACATTATGCTTATGCACACAATATGACTTTGACTTGACTTGACTTAAAATTCTATGTGCCCTAGATAGGGCAGAGAGCGTCTACAGAGGTCTTCCATCTCGATCTGTCTTGACCTTCAAGCTTCATCTCGCTTACAATATGCAGGTATTATATATAAATAAATATTCAATAAAAATGGCGATGTTAAAAATCGTACCTGGCTCAGTGTACCACAGCCTTACCTCACGCAACATTTCGTTTTGTTCTTGCACCATCTTATATTCGGTAGCGGTGCACCAAAGGGACGCATTCAATTATTTACTCGTATTATTCTTGTTTATAACTGGTGTACGAATGTCGTATGTGATGCCTATCATCATCCTCGCTAATTGGGAGCGTCCAGCTAAAGTTTTTTTTAAACTACGAAGTGTGAGACACGTAAAGGTTTGAGTATAGCAAATAAGTACTTTGGCGCGTATAAAATGTCATTGACCCTTTCTAGGTAGGGGTCTGAATTGTATGTAGAAGTTTTTTATTTTATTTTTAGAGTTAGGAAAAGGGTCAAGTGACTGCATGGGGGCAAGAGGAAGTGTCAGACTTTACTGTATAAAAACTACCCTGTCCCTTCTTCTGCTCGAAGCCGGGGCCGCGGAAGATAATTGCGCGTAATTTTTTGCTTATACTCGTGCACTTAGGTGTCTACTTATGTATTTAACTCTTTTTGAGGAGGAAAAATCATCAAATTGTGTCTTCTGATCTGTATGGGGCGCAAGGGAGTTTTGGACTATTAAGTACCTAGGCACTGACCAAAAACCACTCCATTTCATCTCCTATTATTGCGCTTGCACGCGTAACTCCGGCACTATGTTATTGCGTATCACATCCCATATCATAAGATCCTACCTAACCAGTGTGCTTGTCAAGGGCGAGGAGTTGAGTCCTCTAGATACAACTGTCATTTTAGGTATAACCCTGGACGCTAAGCTCCAGTGGGGCCCATATATAGATGGCTTGTCGAAAAAGCTCAGTTCTGCAGCATATGCCGTTAAAAAAATTAGAAATTTAACAGATGTAGATACAGCGCGGTTAGTTTATTTTAGTTATTTTCACAGCATCATGTCATACGGTATTTTGTTGTGGGGGAATGCTGCTGACATCCAGTCTATTTTTGTTTTGCAGAAAAGGGCTATAATCTATAATCTTAGTCCGAGGCATTCGCTCAGAGAATTATTTAAGGAATCTAAAATAATGACAGTTGCCTCTCAATATATATATATGAAAATGTAATTCACGCTCATAAAAACAAAAGTTTATTTAAGAAATATAGTGATATACATAATATCAACACGTGGGGGAAAAACAAATATGTTGTGCCTGCCTCCAGGCTTCAGAAAATAAGTAGTTCGTTTAGATGTGATAAAATGCTTTAGAGTAAAGTTTAGCCTTTATTACACTTTTAATGAAAAGAATTTATATTTTTTTATATATAATTAATTAATATTATATATTTACACTTTTAATAAAGAGGAATTTTATTGTAAAAGCGTATACATGTGGTGCCCGAAACAAGAACCTGTCGAAACAGGCCTTATTGACACACCACCATCCTTACCCGAAACTATTCAAACATTGGAAAGCGGAAAGCGGATACGATTACACGTCAAATTATATGTGAAAAACTAGATGAAGCCGGCATTTCCTATCTGACTATTCTGAGAAGAAATGCCGAAACAAACTAAGAGGTCAGTCTCTTTTCAAGTCCAGACAATGTAAAATAACATAATGTGAGAGAACCGTGCAAGTTCATTGTGTAGTGGTCTTTTGAGGAAAGAACCACACCAGTTTAAGTGGACCCGTTCTGAAGACAGGCACGCAAGTGTTAGTTTGCAACCAGTATAGCTAGTGCTGCTGAGTTGTCCGACGAACAATACCGATCAAAAGAACATTTGGATGGGTCGCGCAAGTACTCAAACTGTCAGAATATCTGCGTTCTGACAGTTTGAGTACTTGCGCGACCCATCCAAATTTTGACTGGTAATCAAAAAGCACGGCAAGTCTCACACGGTCCTTACACTAACAATAAAATAAAATAATAAAAATGTTAATTATTTAATAAAACAAAATGTCAAATAAACAATAAAAATGTCACAATAGGTGATCATGTCATTGTATAAAAAAATAAATGTAATGTCAAATTGTATATAAAAGTGTAGGTAACTTATGTTACAAACATGTCAACATGACCTGTGCAGACGTTACAGCGGCTCATTCCCAAGCCTGACTAACCTCTAAGTAGTCTTTTATTTTATAAAATGCTTTAGAGTAGGTAAAGTTTAGCCTTTATTACACTTTTAAATTTATTGAGGCTCAAATTTTGAATAAGCGTAAACGCTTTTACATAGACACATGGATGGATCTTGCAGTACTTATGTTTGTAATTTACCTTTTTCTGTAAAAAAGAACTTTGCCCCATATTAGGATTTTCTCCTATGTCGTAGGTGCGTTTACAAACATACAATTTTACATAGGTACTACCTACACCACATCACACCCAGACCCGTGACTAGAATTTGTGGATCATACATACAGTTATTTACGTGTGAACCTGCTCCATGTTGCACGACAGCCAATTGCTCAGCCACCGTACCAACCGTGCTATCAATTTTTCTTTAATTTCGTAAATAACGTAATCACTTTCGTAACTAGGTAATAAGTTTTGTTTTAGTTTAGTAGTAGTTTTTTACTTCTATCAAGTAGATATACGTAGCCGAAACTAACGGATAGTCCGAAATAATTAGTTGTCTATCCGTAGGTACTTAATTGACACCGGGTGACTAGTCATTTTGGGCCCACATCCATCCGTATCCAGGTCCGGAATACCATATCCATAACACCCACGGACTGTATGCCGTGCAGCTTACCGCGGGTTTGATTATGCACGGTTGTACAAACTGTAGATACTGATCCACAAAATTGTTATTCCGACTCTGGATTGATATGTACTGAGGTAATTATCTGTGTATGTACGACAAATTCTAGGTACTGTGCAGCAATGTTATTTTAGGTATATCAATAATACGTTTAAGGAGGCGTTTTTTGGAAGAGCCATGCTTCGGCACGAATGGGTGTCTTCTCGACCGGAGTGATACTACGGCCGGCATCACAGAAAACCGGCGTGAAACAACCACAGCGATGTGTTTCGCCGTGTGAATGAGGTTGCAATCCTTCCCCAATCCCTTAATCCCCAGAAGGTCGGCAAGGCACTCGTAACTTCTCTGTTGTTAGGTACGGGTGTCCATGGGCGGCGCTGATCGCTTACCAATTTACCATCAGGTAATTTAAGAGTCGCTTCTATTATAGGGTTGGCTAAAATAGGTACCTAGGTATGTGTTTATTGGATTTTTCAGGTTTTCAACAGTTTTTAGTTTTTATAATAACTATCGTGAGACATACTAAATTAACTAAAAACCGCGGGTTACTCACGTGTAAATATTGAGAATCATGAGGAAGAACCCCTCTGTGGTTCGAAACAAGTAGAGCTTTTCTCAATTTATACACGTGAGTAACCCGCGATTTTTAGTTAATTTAGTTCTTAGTTTGTTCGGTAAATAACGTAGTCTGAAATATTACCCAGATTATGACAATAGGCTTATCTCCCATCTCGTTGGCGACGATTTGAAAGTTGTTGGAGCTCTCAGAATGAAACTTGAGGGAATGCCAGACTTTTATTGACTAAAAGAGGATAACTTCACACTAGGGCGCGACGTGGCGATGGTTGCAATGTCCTTGCGTAACGAGACATTGAAAAAAAAGACTAAAGGCTAGTTTTGCTACAAAATTTTCCTTAAAAAACAACTCCTGATCAAAGCATGCACTTGGGAGTTCTAGGCGTTTCCCAATATCATACATTTGACCTTGAGGTCAAGGTTCGTATATTTATATTTGGGGTCAAGGTCATACCGGTTCATGACCTTGAGGTCAAGATTATCCTGTATTTATTTGGGGATCAAGGTCATACCATTTGAGGCCCTGGGTGTTACCCAGCATTTTATACTATTAACTTTGACGTCTAGGTCGTCTACTTCTAGGTCAAAGAAAATATGGCCTTGGTATCCCTAGTGATCGTGGCGTTAATCTTGAAGTCAAGTTATCATGGAGATCCACCTGACGGTTTCCCATCCTTCTAGTGCCGGATGTACTATGTCTTCTTTTATTGTTTATTTTTTGAGTTAGTTTTTTCTAAGGTCTATAACATCTCAGAGAACTCAAAGCGCTTTTTCGTGGGGATGCGACGAAATTGCGAATTAAACGAGTACTAAAAATGAAGCTGTTTAAAAATAAAACGCTATAAATGCAACATAAAATAGTTTAATAATGTTATCCAATAACATAGGAGTATTTGCTAACAATATCCTTGTAGAAATCAAACACCAGTTGGCTAGCTGACCGGCATCGCTCCAGAGCCTCTTTGTATGCATCTTCGCTAAAACTGCCATTGGTTAGAGCTGAAATAAAAAAAACAAACATTATCTATACTTCTACACTAATATTAGAAAGAGTAAAAATTGTAAGTTTGGATGTAGAGGGTAATCTTTGGAACCACTGGTCGGATTCCCAAAATTCTTTCACTAGTTGATAGCTAGTACAGCTACAATGTTCCCGAGTGCTATAGATAACACTGCATAGGCTATAAAACATCATGGTACAATCAAATGGAGCCGAGCCGCGAGTTAAACCGCGCGGGAATAGGTAGTTGCTGATATTTGAGTTGTTGTAAATGTAACTGCCGGACAGAGGCCTTTGGTTTGATTTGGCTAAAGGAAAAGTACTTATACATAAGTTACGTTTAAGTTTATCGATTTTGGTAATTTCTACATACATTTCAGCGTTCTCTACAATCTGCTTACGAAAGTGTAGAAAACCAAAAAAATATAACGATTTAATTTTGGATTAACTAAATTAGACTTTTGAGACTTTGATTGATTGAGACTAAATATTATATTATATATCATATTTCTAATTATAAGTAGGCTGCGCGACGTCCCCGCGTCCGCGCACGCTGCTCATGAGGAAGAACCCCTCTGTGGTTCGAAACTAGTAGAGCTTTTCTTAATATAGGTATACACGTGAGTAACCCGCGATTTTTAGTTAATTTTGTATGTCTCACGATAGTTATTATAAAATCATAATTTTGGATTCTTGTTTGTTTATTGCGGCTGGCTCATATTTTATTCAGCGGCGTGAATAAAGGTTATGTAAAAATGCTTCGTCAAAAATGGCATGATGCCACGGCCTCACAGAATAACGGCGTGAAATAACCACAGCATTAGACATGTTTCGCTGTATAAGCGGGGGCTTACGGTAAGACCCATCTCTTTCCTTTACTGATTCTCAAATCCCTTACTCCAAAAACTGGCTTTTTGAGCGTCGATTGCTTACCTTCAGGTGATACGTCTGCACGTTTGCCGCCCTATATGCTTGACATGGATTGGCTTGGCTTTGTATAAAAAAAGTGTAACTATATAGTATGTACCTTTGTTTCTGTATTTGTTTTCCTATTTACTGTATTTATGTGTTATGTGCATGAATAATCCAAACTAATATTATAAGTCTGTCTGTCTTTTCTTCACGCCTAAACTACTGAGCCGATGTCTGTGAAATTTGGTACCGACATAGTTTGGAACTCGAGAAAGGACATAGGATAGTTTTATACCAACAAAAATCTACAGGAAGTCACTATTCCACGCGAACGGAGTCGCGGGCAAAAGCTAGTAAATAAATAAAAAATGAAGCATAACTTACAAGTAATCAATCTCTTTTCTCTGCTATCGAATACGAAGTTCATGGTGGCGCGAGCTGTCTCAAGATGTGTGGAGTCGGGGTCGAGCTGTATGTTGCCGCGCTCGTCCACTGCACAGGCCACAGCCGCGAACGTGTGTCGCATCGCCACACCAGCGTTCAGTAAGGCAAGGCAAGCACAGTTTATTGAACATACTGTGAACTGTAATGAGAAATATTTTTTTTATATAATGGCGTTTGGTCGTCGTGGCCGCGGGGTTAGGGCGCCCGCTTTTCATGCACGAGGGTGTGGGTTCGAAACCTGGCAAGTACCTTTTAATTTTAAATGTTTGGGTCAAAATACTTTATGCTGTTACTTAGGATTTTTGGAAAACCGAAACAGGCAAAATATTTATCTCAACCAGGGAATTAGACTCAAGACAAGATCCCTTGCTTAGTAGGGACATATTTTTAAAATGAATACAAAACTAAAATTACCCTTTGAGACAAAAAATTAACAAAACACACTTATTTCTCTTGTATGTTACAGTAGTTTATAGTTTCACCTAATTCTTAGAAAAAATTCAAACAGAACTTACACCTCCATAGTCTTCCAGCTCCTGGATAGACACTGTGATTCCAGTCCTTGGGTACAGGCTGCTAAGGATAGCACTCTCACACGTCTGTCTGATCACATGCTCCTTATATCTGGAACCAAATAAGAGGGGTTTTAATCAAACTATCCTGTAGAAGTAATCAACAAGGAGGAGATGGCCTTTGTTCATCAGTGGATGACTTCTGGCTAATGATGATGATTACTATTTGGATGGAAAATTTATTTAGTATTGTGACTAACAATTAGCTGATTACTACCTAAAATATATTATAGATATAGATAGATGCATATTGACTGTATTTTTTACCATCAGTAGCACTTGTTTTAATTTAATGAAAAGAATTTAGTGTCACATTTCTAATAATGAAATATTTTTATCTGAATTTCTTAACCAATTTTGATGAAATTTTACTTGTAGATTAATGTTACAGAATGAAGAAAAGAATGTTGTGACATGTTATTTTATATTTGAAAAATCTATTAAAATATGTAAATACCTACAAAATTACAAAAATATATATTTAATATTTACCTATCAGCAACTGATGGCTTGCCAGCTTTACTGGTAAAAAGTACTTCCAGTGTAGCCTTCTCTATGCTCTGATTAGTCATCTTTATGTCTAGCGGACCATTCACACTCACCAGTGCCACTGTTTGACCTGAAATATAAACAATACACTGATTACAAGTTTACAATTTATTAGGACCTTTTTAATGGTGAACAATATTAAATGATTTCTTTTTAGTTGTATAGCAATGGATTGAATGGTTAGTCCAGTGACTGGGTAATGGGCTGTTGCCCTATATATCATAGGTTTGATTCCCACTTCAACTACTACTCTCTTCAACTTCAAGTGAGTACTTGATATTGTGTTACTGCTAACAGCATGTTTGCCCTCCCTACTAAAGGATGTTCACTGACCCTTTAAGCCATCAAACTATCTTCTCACTGACCATCAAACCTTCAAACTATTTCCTATAGCCTTAATGTATAAAATATATAGTTTTATCGTTTCACGATGGTAATAGTAACATCATCCAGACAAACATTCCTTGCAGATTATATGACACATTTATTTATATCTTAGCTATAAATCCCTACACTAATATAAACGTAAATAAAGGATAATAATCAAAAACTAAATACCTTGGGACAGAATAGCCGAACCATCTGATTTACTCAGAAAATTGCACTCGCATTTCATCGGTCTCAGTTTGAAATCTTTTAAATCAGTGTTCTCAACTTCCATTGTTTGTTCTGTAATCGATTTTTACTTTTATTCCGAAATTAAAATGTTTGTTTTGAAGAAAACGTGTGCGAATCTCATTCAACTCAACCTCAACTTTTGGCATTGACACTTGACAGCAACAAACAAAGAAGCGTTCAACTTTAAGAATGTCAGTAGATATATTCCACAACACTGTATTGGAAACTCGTTTGTCAATAAGACATGAATGCATACATATATACATTTTTTTGAGACTTTACTTACCACATTCAATTTTCTGCATAAATATCTAATAATAATATCAATCTTTGCAATAACATTCTTTCTTGGAACGCAACTGCATTACAACTTTAGTTTTTAAGTCACTGTCAACGTCGAGTCGAGCCACAAGTGTCATCATTGTGTCATTTGAATTGATTCGTGTCAATCCAGCCTTCGAGTATTTTGTCTTCGCCAATATTTTGATGAAGATTTATTATTTAATGTTGTGAAACATAGCAAATAACCTGCAAAAATGAAGAACAGATTCAATACATATGATATTATGTGCATGGTCACAGAATTACAAAGGTAACTACTAAACCAATTTCACTTAAAAATAAGATACTGTTTTTTGTTGATGAATTAAAAATAATCGCAATGTAATCATTCCACGTTTCATTAATTGATTTTAAATTATATAATTCGTTTATACAGTACTTAGGAGACGTCCTTCTATAAATAGAAATGTATTATTTCCTAAATAAAAACAAATAGGTTATAGAAAGGTACATTACAACTTATTTGTTTTTCAGTATTAGTTTATAAGCTTTGTTTTTTTGTACTGCTATGATGCTGCTATTTTGATATCTTAACTAAATAACATTTACACATTTATTTTCTGTTTATTTAACTATTTAAAAACAAGAATATAAATAAAATACACAGCACTTCAGTGAGTCATTCTATGATTTTAGATAGATCTTGAGAGATAGATCTATAGTACTTGAAATTACTAAAATGTATATATATGTCTTCATAGGGAGGTAATTATGGTTTTATTAAATAGTTTTATTGTGTCTCAAAATTAATACCACAGAACAGAAAATTAAGTAGAAGTGCCCCTACACTCTTTCAAAAGGAAAACCAGTGTCGCCAAAATCACACATTCGCAAATCAAATTGTCCATTACACACATTAAAAACAGCTATATAATTGGGTAAAAAGTTGAAACGCAACTTTAGCAAAACATCTTCAAAATGTTGTTAAAAATTGAGTCTTATAACAATGAGCGAAAGTTGTTATCATTTCACATGTCACAATCAATAAAGGCGTCTATCGTGTAAAAAACTTAAATAAAACTATTTACAAACGGGTTCAGCCACTCAACGCTAGATGGCGCTGTAACAAATTCATTCTATTCAAAACGCTAACTTCTTTGAAATAGATGTCATATTTGTATGCACTTGTACCAATAGACATTTACTATTTTGCTACTCAGATAGGGCAGGGTATCCCAATATATCGATGTTTTTGTATTCGTGTGAGCAATATAATTTATCGACACGATATACCTACAAATGATCAGTAAAGAAAAAGGTTCTAATAGAAAAAAAGAAAAATATTAACATATTTTTTGAAGATTTAATGTTTTTTGGAGATGGTCAAGTTATTATTAAAGATTTTGATTTTAACATATAAAAGCACTACGCGCTCCTACAAGTTTTATCTCCTTTCCAACTAAAATAGAATCATTAAAATCGGTTCATAAATAACGGAGACGAAAAAACAAAAAAAAATGTTACAGTCGAATTGAGTCACTCTCCTTTTTGGAACTCTGATAAAAATCATGTACCTACAACATCTATACTTGTAATAAATCTGTAGAGGGGTTAATTCTGTACATTAAATATATTTTCAAAATAACTACCAGGGGGTGATTAGTGATCGATACTGATGCCAAAAATGCAATCAGTAAAAATTTTGTCTGAATGTCTGTCTGTCTGTCTGTATGTTCTTTATAGAAACAAAAACTACTCGACGGATTTTAACAAAACTTGGTACAATTATTCTTTATACTCCTGGGCAGGTTATAGGATACTTTTCATCACGCTACAAATAATAGGAGCAGGGAGAAGTTACTCCCTTTTGTAAGTTTCAGTCGCGTGTGTAACGTACGGTGTATAATGTAACGTAACGTGGACGGACGAACTGCGGAGACTTAATAAGTAATAGGGTATTTACCCATTGGAGATGTACGCATAAAAATGAGACGATAAATACCAAATTTTATGTATACTTAGATTTTGTTCTATTCAACACAGCACGCGGGCCAAGCCACTGGTGAAAACTAGTTATAAAATAAAAATGGTGATTAACCACCCGCACCTGCCACAGACGGATGCACGCTGTGTGTGGTTAAAACGTTGATGTGTCTATGCAATCTTAGTTAAACATTTATGAATAATACACAAAAATTGTCAAAGATCAATTTTCTGAACGATGATGATGAAAAATTATCGATATGAACCTATTTTACGAATATGTCGCATCCCTAAATGAGTAGCGTCGAAACTACTAGAATGTATTGTATATAACGTCACATAACGAACAAGTAGATTTAAACTTAATTGTAATGAAAATAAGGCCCTTTATAGTTTGCATCGAAGTAATGAAATGTGATATTTACATTAAAATCAAATATATTTAAAATTAACAAAGGTTAATACTCAAAGATGATACGATACACCACCACAAGACTCATCTTTTTTTCTGCTTACTTTTTGCAGTTGAAAACCGCACAACAAGGCATAATTTCTAATATATTTCGTGTTTCTTAGAGACAACCATGACAACCAATCATGACAACGGATCGAACGATTCTGACAACAAATGTGCCAAAATGTTGTATATCTAGTCATGATGTTGGTTAGCGCGCGATGTCTGAGCGGCACTTCCACTGGATTTTCTATTCCGTGATTAATACAATACATGTAAAATGAAATATCCCCATTAAGGTTGATGTATAAGATACTTGTGTTGAGGCTGCTTCACTCATTCCCTTATTTAAATCTATATTGAGACAAGAACTCATTCAAGCTAAGATAAAACTAAAACAAAATGAAAAATGCAAAATAAAACATGAATAAAAAAATAAACATAGATTATATTATGTTTCCTTTGGCCAACTAATTTGAGCTATGCCAAGCCAACTAATATGGCTATATCTATACATAAATATTTGTTATAAGTTGTCAAATTCTTGCGCTGACTTACAATTTAATTTTTAATTCATACTGCTTTTACTTCTAGACTGATTGGAATGCGAGTAAACCAAGTCTATGACATAGACAACAAGACCTATGTGATCCGACTACAGAGGTCGGAAGAAAAGAGTGTGCTACTCTTGGAGTCTGGAAACAGATTCCATACCACACAGTTTGAATGGCCAAAGAATGTTGCACCTTCTGGATTTACTATGAAGGTAAGTCTGCCTGAGCATGATTCCATTCACTGCTAGACATAGGCCTAATGTATGCCACTGAGCTAAATGTTTACCTCTTCTTTTTCATCTACTGCCAGGTAAGATTGATAGCAGTTATACACCATAGCAGTTAAAAAAATTCATTGTGTTAATTATTTCTTACATTTTCAACTTTATTCTAATGACATAGAGTTGAAAATACTACAGACAAATAAAAAATTAGTAACAGCATATTGAAAACAAATTGTACGCGAGTAAAAGACTTACCTGAATCAACTGAAAAACCTCCACTAGTTTTAGTTTTAACGTTGGCTGCGTGACATTGCGAATTGAAACTAGTAGAGCTTTTCGCAGTTAATTTGTGTGAGCAATTCATTATTTTAAATAAAAAAAGATATGTCACACGATAGTTACTGTTCAAAATTAGATTTTACTAGCTACTCTCACACGGTTTCACCCGCTGCTCGGCTCTCGACTAAGTTTAGTCGTACCGTGATGTTTTATAGCCTATAGCAATAGCACTCAGGAACATTGTAGCTATCGATCAGTGAAAAAATTCTAGAAATCCGATCAACAATTCCAAAGATTACCCCCTACATACAAACATACAAACTTACAAATTTTACCCTACATAAAAACTTACAAACATACTAACTTAAAAAAATTATCTCTTTATACCTAATATTAGTATAGATTTATCAATTACTAAAGCTCACAAAAGCGTTTGCACAGTTTAGCTGCAAGAACTGAACAAACTATTTTGATAATTTATCTTTATTTGCAGCTCAGAAAACACTTAAAGAACAAACGTTTGGAGAAGCTCTCGCAGCTGGGTATAGATCGTATAGTGGACCTGCAGTTTGGTAGCGGGGAGGCAGCGTATCATGTTATACTGGAATTATATGACAGGGGTAACATTGTGCTAACTGACCATGAGTGGACCATCCTTAATGTGCTGCGGCCTCACGTCGAGGGGGACAAGGTTAGGTGAGTTGGTATTTTTTTTTTATGCTTGTTTCTCTCGATTACCGTAATATGTAAATGGGCCTTTAGCCTATACAAAATATGACTATAATTAGTCATAACAAATATAAATTTCGACATAAATGTTAAATAAAATCAATTCCAAAAACAGGGATGGGTTCTATCCCTTGTTTCATAAAAAAATCTTTATTTTCTGGTATTTTGCCCCACACGGAAATCGAATCTGAGGCCGTGTCAACATTCAATAATGGTCCCTGTAGTTTAATACTTTAATAAGTTCCTAAAGTACATCTACACTTTGGAAACGAGCAAATAGCTGTACTAGAATTTACTAGAAGACAGACCAATGGACTGACAAACTTTTTGATATTTAATTATTTTTGTGAGACATTCAAAAGTGCCTATACTGGTGTAAATATATGCCTGAAATAAATGATTTGACTTTTGCAAAAACTATTATTTATTGCTCATATAGGTTTGCAGTAAAAGAAAAGTATCCGCTGGACAGAGCGAAGACAAGCTACGCAGCGCCATCTGCCGACGCTCTCCAGGAAATACTAAACAACAGCAAACCAGGCGATAATCTGAAGAAAGTCCTTAATCCTAAATTAGGTAAATATTTTATTACATATTTATAATAGTTTCGATCGACCTTTTGTGGAAACAAAATAACACAACTTAGCCCCGCCGACTACGGGTCAATTTTTTACGCAAGATGACCCAGCCCACGTGATAATGAGCTGATTCCAGCAGAACTTACAACATGTTAAAAAGTTAATTTTTATTTAAAATACTAATTCTTACTACATTACGTTACGACGACGACGTCAGACGAGTTACTTGTAGAAGCATCTAAAAATTTAGATATGGCCAGGCATTTGGTAAGCGGTGATGCGACCTACGATGGAGCACGCCACCCATAAGCAACCTATTCATTTGAGCCTCGAAAGAACCCTTCGGGAAACGTAGACTTTTCTTCTCTCTAGATTTAGAATACCAACACATAACAAAAAAAATAAATTAGGACCTTTATCCCCTCCACAGAATACGGTTCAGCAATCATAGACCACGTACTTCTAGAGAATGGACTATCAGGAACCATGAAACTTGGTAAGGAACCAGGCAAGGGTTTCAACATGGAACAGGATCTTGAGAAGCTGGTGAAAGCGTTGAAACAGGCTGAGGAACTGCTGGATATCGCGAGGACGCAGGTCGCTAAAGTACGAGAAAATACTTATTTTTTATGGAATAAGAGGCAAAAAATGTGGGAAAGCCAAGCTTTTGACACGAATGGGTCAGCTCATCCGGAGTGATACCACAGGAAACCGGCGTGAAATAACCATAGTGTTGTGTTTCGCCGTGTAAGGTTACCGGAAGCCCAATACTTCCCCTTCTCCATCCCTCCCTAATCCCTAAATCTTCAAAATCCTAATCCCAAAAGGCCGGTAAAGCACTCGTAACTCTTGTTGGGCGGCGCTGATTGCTTACCATCAGGTTATCCGTATACTAATTTGTCGACATAAAAAAAACGAACTGACAAATCACTTAATGGTATGATTAGCGCCGCCTATGGACACCATCAAGGACTCATAGACACCAAAAGTTGAGCATTAATCACCACGCTATCTCAAGGCGGATTGGCTATTAAAGTCCAGGGTTTCCTCACGATGTTTTCCTTCACCGTATGTCAGTGGTGTCTAAATAACTTTACAAAGTACATACATATAACTCGGAAAAAGTCACATAGGTACTTGCCAGGTTTTGGCCCCCGCACCCTCATACATTTATTTTTTATTTTTATTTATTTATTTAGGTTTACCAACAGTTGTTACAGATGTAATAGGAACAGGAACTTAAAATATTGGTGTCTTATATCCAACTGTACAACCAATTACAGGTAAACACCTCATGCAAAATACACTATCAACATCTTACAACTATTCAATAATTTAATAACTTATTTCTACGTACTTAATTCTAGACAATATAAACATATTCTTTAATTTAAATCGCTATACATCAGTTCTCTTATGTTTGACATTTCTGACAAATGTTGACACTGAATCTGAGTGGACGTCAGCCAGGTTGCTGGAGTCGTTGATGAGTTTGCACATGCGGGGTATAGGCGAATTAGTACCAAACACTGTATGGCGAGCAGGTGGAACTAGGGGTGTTACAGGTTTACGAGGCGGTCTACGGGGCACTCTAAAATTGAATTTCTGCAATAATTGTGGGCAGTCAACCTTGTTATTGAGCAGTTTATGCGCGAATCTCAGATCCAGAAGCTCCCTACGGGCTTCCAGGGTACTCATTTTGTAGTGGTTTAGTTTTTCAAGGTAGGAGAGATTTCTAAATTGCCTACCTCCTGAGGCCCCCAGGTGTCGGATGAACCTTTTTTGGATCCGTTCTATCCGCAGCGAGTGGGTTGCGTAGTGAGGCCTCCATACCACACTGCAGTATTCCAGGATGCTTCTAATAAGGCTGTTGTATAAAACAAGTTTAGTTTGTGGGCGTTGAAATACCTTTCCATTGCGGATGATAAATCCAAGCATACGCTGAGATCGACTGATTATGTTATCAATATGCGGTAGAAATGTGAGTTTGGCGTCTAAGATAACCCCCAAATCCCGTATCACATCCACCTCGCGTAAAGCCACTCCGTTTATATGGTATGACGAGTTTACTATACTTAATTTCCTGGTGAATTTTATATGTACATAAAATGAGGACGCCTTATCTTCCGGGCCACCACGACATTCTACACAATTATTTTTTCTTCATCCCAGGGCTACATAACACAGAAGAAGGAATCCCGGCCAAACCCTAACGGAGAAGGTTCCAGTTTCCTGCTCATCGGCCAAGAGTTCCACCCGATGTTGTTTGCCCAGCACAGAGAGATGCCTCACGCTGAACATGAGACCTTCGACCGCGCAGTCGACGAGTTCTTCTCAACTCTAGAAGGACAGAAGATTGATATGAAGGTATGACATGACTTAAGTATTTTTTCTTTAAGTGTAAGAGAGCCAGCTACGGTTCCGAGTTAAGCGATAAAATGACTGCACGGTTGGCGTGGTGGCTGGGCAACTGGTTGCCGTTGCACGTGTCGCGGGTTCGATTCCCGCACGGAACAGCTCTTTGAGCACCCACAAATTGTTGTTCCGGGTCTGGGTGTCATGTGTATGTGAAATTGTATGTTTGTAACCGCACCCACGACACAGGAGAAAATACAAGTGAGTGGCAACGTATTTAAAAAAAAAAAAATATTTACACACAACTAGCGTTGTGTTTAGCCCTGTTAGTGTGGTTACCGGAGGCTTTTCCCGCTAACCCCAATTTCTAAATCCACAAACTGTAAGCCCGTAACTCCAAAAGGCCGGCAACGCTCTGTTTCTCCAATGGTGTTGCGAAGGTTTTTTGGACGGTGCCAGGGTTTTTGATGATAAGTTATTATTTACTAGCTACTCTCACGCAGTTTCACCCGCTGCTCAGCTCCATTCGATCGTGGCGTGATGTTTTATAGCCTATAGCACTCAGGAACATTGTAGCTATCTATCAGTGAAAGAATTTTGGCAATCGGACCAGCGCGACCGGTTCCAATGATTACCCCCTACATACAAACTTACAAATTTTACCTTTTTATAATATTTGTATACATTACTTATCCGCCCTATTCCAAATACAATGAGGTTTCGAAAACACCCGATTAGTTTCAATCCAAAAACTATTAAAAGCCCCATGTCAACACGAAAGTAATCGAGCATTCTCGAAAAATATTTCAGTGCCGTAAAAACATTATTCTTTTTCTCTAGACGGTACAAGTGGAACGTGAAGCCCTTAAGAAGCTGCAGAACGTGCGCAACGACCATGAAAAGCGAGTTACGGAGCTGTGCCGAGCTCAGGATGAGGATAAGAAGGCTGCAGAGCTGATCTCCCGCAACCAGCCCCTCGTGGAGCAGGCTCGTTTGGCTGTACAGGCTGCTATTGCCAACCAGGTCAGTAATATTCAATACTCAATATATCTTTATTGCTTTACCATAAGTACATATAAAAGTGGTAACAATTTGTGTGAGACCAATTTTGGACCCTGTAGGGCACAGCAAAATAAGGCAACAGGATAAATCTATATCGATCTAATAATTATAGACCGCATATTCGCATATGCATTTGCATATATGAATATGCATTATAACTAGAGATCTAGTTAAATCTTAATATATAAAAATTTCGTGTCACGTGTTTGTCCGCGATGGACTCCTAAACTACTAAACCGATTTTAAATTTGATTTGCATTTCGTGTGCATTTTGATCCAACTTGAAAGATAGGATAGCTTACATCTCAATTTTATAGTCACAATATTATTTCATTACAAATAATTTGTCCATATGTAATATAACAAGAACTTTAGCCGTAGCAACGCGTGGTTGGGTCTGCTAGTTTACAATATTTTTCACTCCTATATATTTCACTCATATATAGGTGTGTCATATATAATTGCTAACATGGATGGATCAATGGATGTGGAGCAAAACTTTTCCACTGAAAGAAATATTGTAAATAATCGTAGACACAAACATACCACTGAAAATTTAGAAAAATATTGTTTCCTTATGTTTACAAAGAAATAAAAAAATGAAATGTAACTGCATAGTCTAAATAGTCTAGTAGTTAAAACGGAGTGGCTTTTAGTCAATAAGAGTCCATTCCCACACGCCTCACCTCATACAAGATGGGGAATGTAATACGGTAGTTTCCAACAAGTCAAATTCAATATTTTTATCCAAACGTCAAAAACGATACTTTTCTATGAAATTTATATGAAAAACTGAGTTATGACGTCATAACATTTTTGCGTCAAATAGCTTAATTGTTTCTTAATAATAAGCTAAACAAATCTAAAACTTAGTGTATCGATCGATCGATGAATAAAAGTACTTATAGTTATTTTTCAATATTTTAGTGTATTGAAACGTCGAATTAATTTATTTTTGACCTAGCAAACTAACCAATTCAACGATCCCCCTCTCCCTTGTCCCAAAAACCAATCATTTTAACTTTTATTTTTTAACAGATGTCATGGGATGACATACAACTCCTAGTGAAGACAGCTCAGGACAACAACGACCCCATAGCGTCCTGCATCAAGCATTTGAAGCTGAAAACTAACCATATCACATTGCTGCTCTCTGATCCTTATGATGAAGAGGATCTTAAGCCTATGATGGTGGATATTGACCTTTCGCTGACTGCTTACGCTAATGCAAGGAGGTAAGGGATTTTGAGATCTAAACAACCTGAAATACAAGATGACTTTGAAAAAGCGTTCCGCGCGCACCTTATGCTATCTATAGACCACCACAGACGGGCCCCTATAGGGCTGATGTTCAGCCCGGGTTACGGGGTAAGCGCAATAAGGCACCCCGGCATAGATCAGAACAGAGCAGGAGAAGAAACTAGGGATTTTTAGTCAGTAAGTAAGAGTCTAACACTTGGGCGAGAGACGTGGTTTCATGATCTTCCACCATCAAAAAAATACCTGATGGTAAGCAATCAACTCCATCCATCCATGAACACTCGCAACACCAGTGGCTACAAGTGCGCTGTCTGCCATTTCGAAGTGGTCAGGAATTTTAGTGGACTGGTGGATTGGTTGATAGGGACTCTGAATCACTTGCTATAGCATTATATGTTTTTTTATGTGATAGAACGGTAAACCAGCAGACGGAGTACCTGGTGATAAGCAATCAGCGCCGCCCATGGACACTTACAATAGAAGAATTACGAGTTAGCTGCCGACCTCTTGGGGATTAGGGATTTGTTGATTCTGGGATTGAGGGAGGGGAAGTATTGGGCCTCCGGTAACCTCATTCACACGGTGAAACACAAAACTGTGGTTGTTTCGTACCGATTTTCTATGAGGTCGTATCACGTGGTATCACTCTGGTCGAGCAGAACCATTCGAAACATGGGTCTCTGGTCTCTCAATCCTAAAAGATGATATTTATAGTTTTTCCTCTTAAAGGTACTACGACCAAAAACGCAACGCGGCAAAAAAACAGCAGAAAACGATAGAATCAGCCGGCAAAGCTCTGAAGAGTGCAGAACGGAAGACAAAGCAAACATTGAAGGAGGCCCACACAGTCAGCAACATCATCAAGGCGCGGAAGACTTATTGGTTCGAGAAGTTCTTCTGGTTCATCTCTTCTGATAATTATCTGGTGAGAAGGATGTTTCATTGCTATGTTTATTGTAGCGATTTAGTTTTTTTAATGAATCTTTGTCATTAGAAAGCCAGTAGAGGTCCATAACCGTGCAGCAATATTGCCAAATTAAAGAGGGTTCGCTTATAGTAAGTGTCGGAGAGCCAAGGTGCAGCAAGAATGGACCCATATCAACATACAACCATATCATTGTGTTTCGCTGTGGCCTTTGTGCCACAACGAAGATGGCTGGAGAAGGATGGATGGATGGAGGGAGGCAGATCAAGGATTGCCTTGATCTCCCCCATCATTCCCTTAACCTTTAGCCTAAAAAATCCTAATCCCCAAACGGCCGACAACGCATTTGCCTTTGGTGTTGCAGTTGTCCATGGGTGGCATCGATTGCCAACCCTTCACATAAAACAAAAAAAAAAGAAAACAATGTCCTCACCAAATTGCCATGCAGCGGTTATGGCAAATTAGAGAGATTTCGCTCATACTAACCTTAATCTCCCTCATCCAAATCAATTTCCCTTGCCACCAGGTGATCGGAGGTCGCGACCAGCAACAAAACGAGTTACTAGTGAAGCGGTACATGAGGTCCCGCGACCTGTACGTGCACGCGGAGGTGACGGGCGCCTCCTCCGTCATCGTGAAGAACCCTGGAGCTGGGGACGTGCCTCCCAGGACATTGGCTGAAGCTGGACAGGCTGCAGTCGCTTACAGGTGATGGGAGGTTTATTATAAACGCACTCATATCTCCTTCATTGCTGTGGGTTTCCATGGGCGGCGTTGATTGCTCACCATCGGGTAATGCGTCTGATCGGTTGCTGCCCTATCACATAAAATATAAATATATGACAAACAAGAAGATGAATCACCTGATGGTGGAATTTGTGGGGGTAGGGAGACAAAATGTCTTTTTTTGGGATAAGTCGGCAAACGAGTAGACGGATTACCTGATGGTAAGCAATCGGCGCCGCCCATGGACACCCGCAACACCAAAGGAGTTACGAGTGCGTTGCCGGCCTTTTGGAGATAGGGGTTGCGGATATAAGGATTGGGAAGGGATAGGGGAAGGGGAGGGATTGGGCCTCCGGTAACCTCACTCACACGGCAAAACACAACGCTGTGGGTTGTTTCACGCCGGTATTCTGTGAGGCCGTGGTATCACTCCGGTCAAGCCGACCCATTCGTGCCGAAGCTTGGCTCTCCGACACTTTAATGATAAAAATGTCTTAGGTAATCTGACTCACATTGTGGAAACAATGTAATGTTGTATTGTTATTGTTGTAATTTTGTTAATGGCAATCCACCTCCTCGTTTCGCTTTCTCCTTTCATAACATCCTCCTTAAAAATTCATAAAGTTAAATGTATTGTTGAATTAAATAAATATTCGAGCAAGTCAATTAGTTTCTAGCCACGTCCAAAGTACCTTGCCCCTCGATCTCACGGTCTGTTGTCACGGATAAAGAGTTAATAATAATATAGATCACTAGCTATTCTCGCGCGGTTTCACTCGCTGCTCAGCTCCGTTTGATCTTAGCGTGATGTTTTATAGCCTATAGCACTCAAGAACATTGTAGCTATCTATCAGTGAAATTCAGTGAAATTCAGTGTCAAATTTTTGGCAAACTGACCAGCGGTTCCAAAGATTACCCCCTACATACAAACTTACATATTTTACCTCTTTATAATATTAGTAGAGATAACTGTCGTGGTAGTCCAGGGATAAGGTCGCCCGCCTCCTGTGCATGAGGGTGCGGTTTCGAAACCTGCCAAGTACCAATGTGACTATTTCAGAGACATCATAACGAAAAAAGTCGAAAACCTGGAATTATAATTTCTAATTTTACGTTTGAAATCGCCATACCGTCTAGAGCAATGCTAATAATGCTCCACGCTTCTCCGTGTAAGAGAACACCTTTGCTTAGGGCACTTACAGGCTGAGGTTGATTAATAATTAAGAAGATATAACTTTTGTCCGCAGTGTGGCTTGGGAAGCGAAGGTGCTGACCCGTGCATGGTGGGTGTACGCGTCCCAGGTATCGAAGTCCGCACCCACCGGAGAGTATCTCACCACCGGGTCCTTCATGATTCGTGGACGCAAGAACTACTTGCTGCCTGACCATCTGCAGTTTGGATTCAGTTTCATGTTCCGAGTAAGTTTAAACATTATACTCTTTCTTCTGTTCTTATGAAATGCAAAAACGTAAACGCAAATATGATTAAAAATAAAATCAAATTCCTATTGCAATAAAATGCAATGTATAAAGTGCATTGAAATGAAATAATAAATATCTGATAAGCCACCACACACCTGTCTCCCCCCCCCCACCCCCTCCACACTTCCGATGTCCCCGAACCCCGCCTTCTTTTCTCCACTTCTTTCCTCTGCCTCATCTGCTGCCTATCTTTACAATTGGGGGCTACCGTTATTTTTCATGCCCACAATATGGGAATACGGAAGATCGCTTTTCTTTTCGTCCAATAGGAAACTTTATCATGATTTATTTCCGTTATTTATTTTGAGGTTATGTTGTATTTTTGATGGACTAGATAAACACAAGAAGAGCTTTTATTATAACTTTAGTGAGACATTCTAAATTATTTATTATGTTTTCGGCTTACTCACGTAATAATTTGACGAGATACTCTACTAGTTTCAAGCCCTGCTAGAGGCCCATATTTCTGAGCAGCATTCCGCGACACGCGACTCGGCGACTGTCGCGCTAGCAGCGTAGCAGCGCGACAGTCGAGTAAGCCGAAAACTTACTCGACTGTCGCGCGAAAGCATAATGAGTAAGCCGAAAACATAATAAATAAAAAAAGCTTATCCCCATTTCTCTTCCCTTCTTCTCCCTTCTCCGTCTCTTCTTTCCACTCTTTCCCCCATACACCCCTTCCCCCTGACAAGAGAGAAGAGATAATAGGGAAAGTTTATTGTCTCCTCTTTTCAACCCCTTCCGATTTCTCTATAAGACATATAACACATGTTAATACTTCACGCAACCAGTTGGAAGACAGCTGCATAGAGCGTCACCGCGACGAGCGCAAGCCGATAGCGTTGGATGACGCCTCCGTCGTCACCTCCACGCAGGAGCTGGAGGAGGACCAGGAGATAATCGTCTCCGATGATGGTGAGCATATCATTTTTTAGCCCATGTGTACTGCCCATCTTTACTTATCTATATTTCTATACTAATATTATAAAGAGGTATTTGTATGTTTGTAAGTTTGTATGTAGGGGGTAATCTGTGGAACCGCTGGTCGGATTTCCAAAATTCTGATAGATAGCTACAATATTTCTGAGTGCTATATGCTATAAAACACCACGCTACGTTTAAATGGAACAGGGCAGCGGCTAAAACCGCGCGAGAGTAGCTAGTAATATTATAAAGCTGAAGAGTTTGTTTGTTTGAACGCGCTAACCTCCGAAAGTATAGGTTCGATTTGAATAATGTTTTTTTGTGTTTGTTTGTCCACTTATCGAGGAAGAGTATAAGCTATAAAACATCACGCTAGGTTCTATAGGAGCTGAGCAGTGGGTGAAACCGCGTGAAAGTAGCTAGTAAAAAATAAAAGTAAGTCATAAAAGACTTTGATTTTAAAGAAGGTATTTGAAACTTGAACCTTGTTATTAAAATATCATTTGTATAAAATTAATAAGATTCTAAAATCTTCTGTTTTGTTTTAGGTTTCTTTTTTATATATTTTTAACCGACTTCAAAAAAGGAGGAGGTTCTCAATTCGTCTTCGGGATCTTTTTTTTCTATTAAGCATACGATATCTGTTGTGTACATTGGAGACAAGATACTTTCGCGCGACTTCACCGGCTGCTGGGCATCTATTAGTCATAGCCTTTCTCGATAAATCGACTTTCCAACACAAAAATGATTATAGATACATTAGATCTGGAGATTAGCGCGGTCAAAAAAACAGACACAAACTATTCAGCTTTATAATATTAACATACAACGATGTTTAGCGCTAGAAGGTACCGCGGTAAGGCCCCGCGAAGGAACGGGGCGTTTTTTTCAGTAAGTGTCACACAAGTGTCACATGTCACACTCCCGGTTTCCCTCATTAAAAAAGTATTTCGAAAATACTGAGTAAGTAATGAAATTCGATTTTAAATTACAAATTTACTCCACAGATGAACAATCAGATAAAGAAGATGAAAAACAAGACTCCGCCAAGCTAGACGCTATCAAAGAAGAATCACAACCAACTGCAGATGTCCCAGAAGACACAGAAGTACAGCAAAAGGAGGAGAAGGAGATTGAAAAAGAAGAAAGCCAGAAGGTAGAAGATTCGGATGATGACAGCGATTCTTCTGAGGATGATGCTCTTGATACTCATATTAAGGTATGATAGTCTTTTCTGTTATTTAAAAAATGTGCTATCTAAATGTCATGAAGTGGTCTTAGACCTTCGTCATCAGCCTGGACATGGGCCTAAGCCGCCATTTTTTCCCCAGATATCATAAATGCCAACGAAGAATTTGAATGAAATTTTTCCTCATAAACTTTCTAGAGTGGTGATGTATATTCTTTTTTTTTGTTTAATTTCAGTATATTTATGAATTCAGTTAAGCATTTGACTGCCGCCAAAAACTGTTGAAGGCTAACCCTCCGCTAGCGTCGGACACCATTGTCCGACATGGCGTTCTAAGTGTTAATTTTTTTATGGTATAGGTCTTAGGATTACCTGATGATAAGCAATCGGCGCCGCACATGGACACCTGCAACACCAAAGGAGTTAGGAGTGCGTTGCCGGCCTTTTGGGGATAGGGGTTGCGGATATAAGAATCGGGAAGGGATAGGGGAATTTTATTTTGAGCCGATTCTTTCTATGAATTAAAGTAATATTATATCTCCATTGCAGGTGGATCACGGTACCGGCGAGGTGTTCGTCCGATCTACATCGAGAACTATTTCCGAAATGTCAGACAGAAGTAAGAAAAGTTTTTTAAACACTTTTTTTTTTTTTTGTTTATTGGTACCTCTTAGCAATTTTCGATCAGTACGCTAGTAAACATGGACAAGTTCGTACGTTACTTATGACGTCGGAGCGTTGCCGTGTGCAGAAAACCTCTTGCAGTGCTACACTCTTTCAGCCTGAGTTATCGGTGCAAGCATATACCTACCGCGGCCCCGGCCTAGAGTAGTTGAAGGAACGGGGATAGTTTTTAGTCAGTGAGAGTCTATCACTCTCCACGCTCTCAATAGGCATTCGACAATTTTCCCGTCTAAAAAAAAAAATAAGCGCCGTCCCCCTTTGCATCGGCAACCTTCCACAGCCGCGCTGTTTGCAAAAGCGCCGTGGGAACTTAGCGGCGTGTACAACGAAAGATTGTGAGCAGCCGATTCGGCTAAACAGTATATAATCTGTAAATCGATGCTCATGATAAATACAACCCCACAGTGTGGAACCGGTGAGGGATATCGCGTGGTGTTCCTCAGGGATCGGTCCTCGGACCAGTTTTGTGAATCATCAGGTACGATGGTTTGTGCTACGCACCGACCTCCTGAGCGGCGTCAGCATAGTTTGCTACGCAGACAACACGCTGGTCCTGGCGAACGGGAGGTCCCATCAGGTGGCGGCCGACCTGATGTCACAAGCGGTTGCGACAGTCGTTGCAAGGGTCCGGCAGTTGAGACTCGAGGTGGCGCTCTACAAGTCCGAAGCCATGTGCCTTTCGCCATTCCCTCGCGCTTCTTTAATATGCGATGTCCAGGCCGCAAAGAGTAACTAATCCCCGTATGTGGTGGGGAGTCGTAGTCCAAGTATGATCTACACCAGTCACACAGACAGTAGATCAGTCACCAGTAACACAAAAGTTACTGGTGACTGAGTGTAGATCAGCTTTTTATTTCCAGGCGAAGACAAAATGCCATCGTTCCCATCGTTACCAAAGAAAGGAGGTAAGAAGCAGCCCCAACAGAAGCAGAAGACGAAAGAAGACAAACAGGAGAAGAAAGAAGGAATGAAGCGCGGACAGCGCAGCAAGCTGAAGAAGATCAAGGAGAAGTACAAGGACCAGGATGACGAGGACCGCGCTATTATGATGGAACTGCTACAGGTAAGAGCAAGAAGCTTTGTGGTGGATGTGGAAAGATGGGATAAGTCGGCAATAGTGCATCCCTCCCCCTCCCCTATCCGTTCCCAATCCTTAAATATCCACAACCCTTATCCCCAAAAGGCCGGCAACACACTCGTAACTCCTTTGGTGTTTCGGGTGACCATAGGCGTCGCCGATTGCTTATCGTAAGGGAATCCGTAAGCTTGTATAGTTTGCAATGGCCATAACAAAAAGGAAATGCTTTTATTTGTCCACCCAACAGTCGGCTAAGGGCGAGAAGGAATCTAAAAAGGCCCAAAAGAAGGCCGCAGCGGCGAAGGCCAACAAGGTGAAGGTGCCCAAAGGAAGCAAGATCCCGCAGCCGGCGCCCCTACTGCTGGAGGCTGATTCCGAGCCTGAGGAACTGGAGAATGAGCCGGATGTGAGTTGCCAACTAATCACCAATATATTTACTGAAACTTTTAATAATATAATAAATTCCCTGTTTTTCGAATTTTTTCAAAGTTATCTATACTTTTATACTAATACTAGTTTCCGCAATTGGCTTCGCTCGCGTCTTATGTTGATACAAATTTGTTTAGAAGCTACCTACACTATCCCAGGTGAACATAAGCTATAAGATAGATAAGACGCGTGAAACCCCTAGGCACAGCTAGTTAACTAGGTATAAAAGACACTATAAAGTGTCTGTCATCAGCATCAGCATCAGCCTATAAGTGCCCACTGCTGAGCAAAGGCCTCTTCTCACACGGAGAAGGCATTAATCACCACGCTTGCTCAATGCGGGTTGGCGATTTCAAACTTATAGTAACTAATTATAAGTCCAGGTTTCCTCACGATGTTTACCTTCACCGTATGTTGGTGGTGTCTAAATAATCATAGAAAGTACATATAACTCGGAAAAAGTCACATTGGTACTTGGCAGGTTTCGAACCCTCCTGAACCCCTCATGAATGAGAAGTGGGCTCCTAAACCTCCGGGCCACCACGACATTTTTTTTAAGTGGCTGTAGTTCAGACTTAAGTTTAGATGACCTTAAGTTGCTTATTCATCTGATCTGAACGAATCCTACGTTCAGATGTTGGTTACCTAAAAGACCACTTGATTCGCCAGTTACAACCGACCTGACTGTGGACCTGTTCCCGGAAGGTAGGACGCCCACTTCTGATACGTAAAGGTGTGGGTTCGAAACCTGGCTAGTACCAATTGTAATTTACAAGTCTATTTAGATATTTCACATTTGGTGAAGGCAAAAATCGTGAGGAAACATACACTTATAATTTTTGGTCATAAAATTTTAATTCACCTTGAGCAAGTGTGACGATTAATGCTCAAACATCCGTTTGAAAAGAGGCCTTTGGTCAGCAATTTAATTATAAGCTTGTGATGTGTGATTAATTATTTTTGTAAATGAGTCTAATATTTGTTGTTAGTGTATAATAGTCCTAATATTCAAACTACTAACGACTAATATTCTTTGTCTCCCAGTTGGAGCAGACAGGTCCCGACGCAGACTCCGAACTCCTGAACCAGCTGACCGGTATACCTCACGAGGATGACGAGCTACTCTTTGCGGTGCCTGTGGTGGCTCCCTACTCGGCACTCATTAACTACAAGTGAGTATATCTTATTTTTCTGTTTTTCTGTTATTAAAAAACGTTACCCCACATTAGGATTTTCTCCTGTGTCGTGGGTGCGTTTACAAACATACAATTTCATATGCACATCACACCCAGACCCGGAACAACAATCTGTGGATCACACAAAGAGTTGTTCCGCGCGGGAATCGAACCCGCGACACGTTGCGCGGCAGCCAGTTGCCCAGCCACCGCGCCAAACGTGCAGTCGAATCACTACATAGTATAAAACAAAGTCGCTTTCTGTCTCTATATTGTCGGCAAACGAGCATACGGATTACCTGATGGTAAGCAATCAGCGCCGCCCATGGACACCCGCAACACCAAAGGAGTAACGAGTGCGTGCTTTTTGGGATAAGAGTTTCAGATATTTAAGGATTGGGAAGGGATGGAGAGTGAGTTAGGGATTGGGCTTCCGGTAACCTCACTCACACGGCGAGACACAACGCTGTGGTTATTTCACGCTGGTTTCCTATGAGGCCGTGGTATCACTCCGGTCGAGCCGACCCATTCGTGCCGAAGCATGGCTCTCCCACTCTTATAACTCGAATTCTATTTACCTCGTTTTACAATTAAATAAATAATACTAATAAACGTTTCTCAGGTACAAAGTGAAGCTGACCCCGGGAACAGGCAAGCGAGGGAAAGCAGCGAAGACAGCCGTACAAGTATTCCTCCGCGACAAAGCAGGTACAGCGCGAGAGAAGGATCTTCTGAAAGCCGTCAAAGAAGAAAACATTGCCCGCAACTTCCCCGGAAAAGTCAAATTGTCTGCTCCACAGTTACATAAACATAAAAAGTAGTTTTTTTTTCTATGTTAATAGCCCTCTCTTCTGATATTGCGTTTTTTTTGTCATGAAATCCGACCTTTTTGTAGATACGATAGTTAAAGTAATAGAAAAATTAATTTTAATCTCACCTCCACGCTAGCCTAGCGTTGAGTTGGGACTATTTCGACTTTATACCAATGAATTTAAAGTCTAATTTTCTTCTTTATATAAGTTTTAGAATGTATACATTATAGTCCAATCATTTTGAATTTAGATGTGGGTGCGTATTTATTTTAAATGTCAATATACTTTCTTGTAAAATTAAACTTAATCACAAAATAACTACAGTCTTATGTCGACAACCTTAAAGTTGAGATTACGTTAGCAAGTTTCATTCAATTGCACATATTAAAATTTACATTCTACAGACTCATAATAATAGATAATTCCCATTTTTTTAATTCGTTTACGTATATTATGATCATTGCAACTGCAAAATTAAACTCTATTACCAAAGACACAAGATACAAAATTGCTTAATAAGCGCAAAATCGATGAGACCTTTTCGAACCATAATATATGAACAATTACTTATTAAGGGCGTGTTTCACTAACTTCTTATGAATTCCCGATAAGCTTATGTAGCATATAATTTATACAAAACTAAAGTACTGTATTCTTTATCTGGCACATCTACACAGGCCATTAAAGCATTATTAAAGTTTAAAATCTGGATATTTTCGTCTCGAACAACTTTTGCACTTCCAACCTTGATTTTATAATACCTTTCTTACCTACCCTAGCTACCATATCATCAACCCAACCATTTCATTTAATAAGAAACCTAAGCTTGTATGTATTAACAATGTAAATATGTATCTATCTACAATAAATACGAAAATAAAAACTTTGCAATCAAATGTCTACTTTATTCCAATAACAATAAGTCGTAAATCGTATGGCGGCGAGTAAGGCCTAATCTTCTTCTTCTATTTCTTCTCCGTAGGCCTCTCCCTCTCCCATTACCTCTGGCGGTGGTGGAGGAGGTAGGTGGGCAATGCGGAACGCCTGCAAGAATATAAATACTATAGTTTTTTTTATAACGGAGTACCTGATGGTAAGCAATCAGCGCCGCCCATGGACACGCTCCACACCAAAAGAGATACAAGAACGTTGCTGGCCTTTAGGGATAAGGATTTTGGATATTTAAGGCATAGGAAGGGATGGGGGGCAGGGGAGAGATTGGACCTCCAGTAACATCACTCACACGACGAATTAACGGTTGCTTCACGTAGGTTTTCGGAGAGGCCGTGGTATCACTCCGGTCGAGCCGACCCATTCACGCCGAAGCTTGGCTCTCCCACACTTGACTATGTTGACAAGTATTGACAGCATCATCAGCCTATAAGTGCTGGTCTCAGGTCACTTCTCACGCGGAGAAGGTTTGAACATTATTCACATTGCTTGATTAGGCAGATTGGCCATTTGAAACTTGTAATAAAATTCCAATCCAGGATTCTTTTGTATATTTTCCTAAACCACTAAGGAATGTAGAATTCTTTGCCAGAGTCCGTCTGTGTTCCCAGAAGGGAATATAACCTGGATGCCTTCAAGGACCGAGTGAATAAGTTGTTTATGGATAGGCATGCTCCAGCGTTCAAATGCCTACCCATTACGAAATAAAAAAAACACTTGTGATTTTTCTGCCGAAACAGCATTCTTTGGGCAGCGCTAATCGCTTACCATCAGGTGATCAGAAAGCTTGCTTGCCCCCTTTTTTACAAAAAAAGACCAAACCTCTTCATCAGCAAAAGTGGGGTCAGCCATCTCCATAATTTCTGGTCCGACCGGGTACTCTTGCTGCGGCGCGGGTAGCTGCAGCGGCGTGAAGTTTGGGGGGTTGAACTTGAGACCCCACCCCATGTAAAGGCACTCGGATTTCCTGCATTGTAAAACAATATAATAGCATTATCCATCACGCATAAGACCATCTTTTCGGTCGAATGCGAAGATGATGGTCTGAACTTATTTCAATCACTTTGGGGATCATTTTCTTTTTTTATATCATAATGGATGACCTGATGATAAGCCGCCGATGGGCACTCGCATATCAAAGGAGTTACTACAAGTATGTTGTCCGCCTCTTATGGGGTATTTGGGAATTGAGGATGGGTAGGGGAACAGCTCTTTGTGTGACCCGCAAATTGTTGTTCCGGTTCTGGATGAGATATGACATTAAACGCAATTTATCGTATTAACAGTAAACACAGGATTATCACTTAAAATAGCAACCAAAAACCACAAAGTTTTAAACTTTTACTATCATGAATTTATCTCAAAATTCAAACACAACCACGAAACGTGGGGCAACGCTATTTTTGAAAAATATCTCTAATCCCCAAAAGGTCGACAACGTACTCGTAACTCCTCCATCGTTGCGGGTGTCCATGGGCGACGCTGATTACTTACCCTCAGGTAATAAACATAAAAAAATTGATAACATTATTTCTACTCACTTGCCAGTAGTAGCGTACGCGACGGCTCCTGGCCAGAGATTACTCCTGAGCACCACCATGGCTCTGTCAGGGCAGAGGGTGCTACTGACCCTGGCACTCCACGCACTCATGCCCTCGATCCTCGCGTCTTCCGCCAGCGAGGTGAACAATGAGGGCCCTATCTCCGGCTCTATGGGAGGTGGTCCTTCATCCTCTTCTTCTTCCAGGCCTTCTTCCTACAACGTAAGTACGAAATTCAAGTGACTTGACTGCAAGTACTGGCTGCTTTGCAATTCCCGTACGGAACAACTCTTTCCGAGCTCCACAAGTTGTTCCAGCTCTGGGAACAGTGTGCATGTAATTTTCTTTGATCGTAAATGCGTAAACCACACAGTTATCGTCAACGTTTTTGCCCTTTTTTTAGGCAAAAAGGTGTCTGCCCTCTGATAAGTTCTTAAAAAACATAGTTTTCTATGATTTTTCACAGTTAATGAGTAAGACTTAAAGTAATTATATTTTAATATGCATCTTGATGCTCTCACCATCCCCGCATTAGGATTCCACCATAGAGTTCTGCCCTGCTTCAGGATGTGTCTCCCATGGTGCACCCAGTAGGTCAGGTTGGAGTCCACTAGGTCTCTTAACGTGTGCCCTTGGTAATATGGATTCGGATTGAATTCCATGTCACCTGTAACCGAAGGTCTATACTTTTTACCCATACAGTGGTATATACCTATTACTCCAAGAGGTGTAACAGTAAAGAAATACCTAGGGTAAACACCCCAATTATGGACAGTTTAAGAGAAAAAATATTGGTATTTCTGAAATACTACCAATATTGTAAAAGTTTCAGTACTGAAAATGCCTAAAGTTTAAAGTCCTCTTCGTACACGATATTCCTACTGTGTTACCCATGAGATATTGCAAAAACGGTGTCGACTGGGAAGAAAAATAAATAAAAATTCGATATTTTTCCCCAGTTGTGGACTGCAAAAATCCAGTTTTGGACACCCAGTAATGTAATGTTATACCAGTATACAGATGAAACTTTTTATGTAAGTACCACGCTAACAAAGGCTCCGGCCAATTTTCCATATAACTGACAGAATGAATTAAAATTTGAAAATATAACAGCTTTAGGTCTAAATAATACGCCACAGTACTGCCAAAATAGAAAAAGTGGTTCATGTCCTCATTCTGAGATATTTAATTATTTTTCGTCCATTACTGGTTCCTTGTATGGACAAGATATTGCACCATTCCAAGTTAAGCCTAATGTTTTTGCACCATTCCAAACTGGCAGAAAGTGCCCTTGGGTTTCAGTGAGGTAAATGCTTACTAATATTCAAAGAAAACATTTTCAATTTAGATAAGTAGGTATGCCATTTAAGAATACAGACCACCCCCTTCCTCTAAGTCCAGGTCTTCCTCTTCCTCCCCAGATCCGTACGTGAAGAATCCTTGAGGGGAAACTGACGTGGCGGCTGCAATGCGAGCGATCTGGGCGCGCAGGTACTCTTTTTCCGTGCCCTCAAATGGAGGGAATGTTATCACCTGGATTAGAAACTTATATGGAAGTACCAGTAACTTTAAGGACACTTGTTAAGATAAAAAATATTGATTACAGAAACCTCCTTTTCATTAATACTTGGCTAAACATGGAGATCCAGAATAATACCGTTAGCTAGATTTCATCCATTAAATCGCAAAAATGATGTCTGTAATAGCATTTGTGACTCTATTGGCCCTCCGTTAATAAGAAAATAAAATAGGTCTGTCTTCTATACCTCGGAATCCAAATCTCCAGTCATACAGCGCACAGACAGCCTGGCGACGCGGATGTGGTCTGGTCGAATATCTGGAAGACAGATCCATGGTTCGCCTGGACGGTTGCAGACCCAGTATACCTAGAAGTATCATCACCATCATGACACTTTGCCGGAAAATTAATGATAACCGATCCTAAAATATTTCAAGGAATCACTCCAAACCTTTTTGTTGATTCCCTGACCAGGCCTTTCGACTGGTATCGGAGTAGGCGGCTGCCACGTGGACACTGGCTCTGGAGGGATCTTGGGAGGGACTGGTTCTTTTGAAATTGGCTCCTTCATCTCTCCTTCGCCGACTATAGAAGATATTAAATTAATATTTTGATAATTTCACACTGAAAATTTATTGTTGTTTGAGTTGACTCCGTGGTTGACTCTCTCTCCACTCTCGATCATTGAAAGCGTTAGCTATCGTCAATGGTGCTCCACTTGGCACTTGACCCCTTAAATTCTATTAGATTGCCCTCCCAAAATACCATGATGATCAGGATCATAATTGAAGAGATTGGCACAACGAGAAATTAGATATGGTCCCCACGTTTTGAGCATGTTAGAGCATGTGCTAACAGATTACGTGTCCAAGGTTAACTTTACTGGGCAAGTATTTGCATTTTACTTTTTACCTTTAAACATATTATAGAAGGTGCTACAAGTATTATGAAAAATGGTACCTATAACTGTTTATAAGTGGGTAACTCAATAGGTCAGAAAGTCTAGCATATCAACCAGAGATTTCGCAAAATATGGTCACTGATCATCTTACGTATCTCCGCCTGTTCTTCCATAGCCTTGTCCCTGGCCTCGTCAGCAGCTTCGCCCTCTCCAGGCATGTCTTTCAACTCGAAGGCCTTAATATTAATAAGAGATTACATTAAAAACATAAGTTATTGATCGTAACCGTGACGCTAAGATTTGTTATTTAAATTACTTTTTTCGACACATTTTAATGGAATGACCATTTGACTGACTTTGAGTAGGTACGGTGAAAAATGAAAAACCAATTGCACTAAATTAATCAGATATTTAACACTAGCTACTCTCGCGCGGCTTCACCCGCTGTTCGGCTCCATTTAATCGTAGCGTGATGTTTTATAACCTATAGCACTCAGGAACATTGTAGCTATCTACAAGTGAAAGAATTTTTAAAAACCCGACCAGCGGTTTCAAAGATGTACCCTCTACATACCTACAAACTTAAAAACTTACAAATTTTACCTCTTTTGTATATATAAATACGTAAGTATTTAATACTTACGTATTTATATGTATAGATAAATACTTACGCATTTATATATACAAAAGAGGTAAAATTCGGTCTTCTAGGCCATTAATAGTTGTATTAAACACTAAATAGTTACGTAATTATATATATCGGTCGGCAACTCATGTAAAAAGTGAGGTTGCCAACACGTTGAAGGAAAATATTGTAAGTAGGTAGGTATAAAAAGTGCATAGGTACTAGGTACACACCCTGATTCTTCTATCCAATTCTTCAAGAGTTAGATCTGTTTCCATAACGTAGTAGTTCGCTTTAGTGCCAAAAATCTTCCCGAAGAATCTGCAAATACATCGACCTAGTGTCTACTGTAATCGTAACTTCAGAGGCTGTTGCTTATATATCCCGATTATCCTTAGTACTTTTTTAATTATGGTTTTTTTACGAACCTCATCCCTACTTAGCAGCCGGGGTTGCGGGGTAAGCGCAATGAGGCACCGCGACCTCGGCCCAGAGCAGGAGAAGGAACAGGGGGGTTTTTAGTCAGTAAGAGTCTGACGCACTCCCTCCCGCCCGGCCCTGGGCGGGGGAAGTCATTTGATGATTTTCCCCTCACAAAAAAATCCCTACTTAGCAAAAACAGCAAAAAATAATTCTCAAAATCGATCTAACCGTTCCCGCGTGACTAAGGGATACTGGGAAAGGGTCTTGCTTTTTAGGAGATTATCGTCTATCTATAATATCAGGAATTCAGGAAGGTAAAGAAGGTTTCGCAGTCAGTAAATATTTGTTACCTGATACTGGAAACGGGCTCTTTGATTCCCAACATGATCATAGATATGTAGACTGCGTAACATTCGCTGGCTGGCAAACCGAACCCAGCCTGCAGAAAAAAAGAATTTCAAAATCAATCCATTCAGATTCGGTGTTATGTAAGTATAACATAACTACATGTAATTAGTTTCGTAAATTGAGAAGCAGGATATCCTTGAGAGGGTCAAGGTGACCAACACAAAGACTTTCTGTGTTTTATTATTAAACTAGAGACACGCCCTGGCTTCGCAAGTAACACATGTGCAATGTTGATACTAAAATTGTCCACTATTTAATGAATGTTTTTATTCATAAAATCTTCCTCTTTTATCGCTCTATATGTTTCAAAAATCTGCATCAAAGTCCGTTGCGTAGTTCTGAAGCGACTTAGTTTTATAATATGTAGTAAATAAAATGCAGAAAATTACCTGTCTAAAGTAGTAGTTGTGATCAATGAGGTCCTGTATCTTCGGCTTGTAGGTTTCTTCTTCCAGGTCGAGCTCCTGCTCCTCCTCTCCTCCGTCATCCAACTTGGTTGCTTTGCTTGCTACCAGCTGCCGAATAACTTAGAATATGGTTATTATGTAACCATTAAAATATATACATACCTATAATTAGGAAAGTACTTCGATAGTTCGTGACGATCTTTATTGACACATATTTGGTTAGTTAGTGTCCAAAATATGCATTTTTTAGCAGACAAGTTATAACGACCGTTGGTCGTATCTCCTCAATTTCAGAGCACCCCCTAACAGCTTTGGATTTGGAATACTTGGTGTCGGCAAATCGAGCGAAATCCAATTCCACCATCATCTAAGGGTAAGGCCAAGTTAGCCTCGAAGAAGCTAAGTAAGCTCAATAGATCGATGCAGTATTTCAACCCAGAGCATCGCCTGCTACTTTACAAGGCGCAATTTTGGCTCCATAGGGAATACTGTGCTAATCTTAGGCGCGGGCTCCCCAATAAACCGCATTCAGCGACGAGCTGTCCGAATCGTTGCCTGACCTGTTATCTTGGACCGGTTGGACTTTTTGGCACTGCGTAGGGATGTAGCCTCGCTATGTGTTTTCTATGTATCACGGGGAGTTTTCTGATGAATTTATCGGTTTGATCCCCGCCTTATCTTACAAGTGTTTAGCCTTATGGCTAGGCATGCAGTCCGAGGCTTATGCCTCGAGGCTTATGCCTCGGACTGCATGGTTGGCGCAATGGTTGGGCAACCGGCTGCTTAGTAATATGTCATGAATTCGATTCCGGTACGAAACAATTTTTGTGCGATCTATATATATTTATAACATATTACCAAAATATGCAACGACGACACTCAAACTCCTTCAGTAAAAAAACCTTACTTCTTACCCGAAACATTTCATCCACCTGCCTCACGGATCCAAGTTGTGGAGGAGACAAATAGATGTCATTGAGCAAATCAAAGTTTGGACGGAACTTCTCCTGCTTCACCTCCCAAGAGTACTGCTCGAAGTTATCTACCACATCTGGAGGTCTTTGGGAGAGTATCTTTTGTACCACGTCCACTAAATGATCGTACCTAGAAGACAAAAAAAAAAGACAAAAAGCAGGTTTTCGTTGAGTACTTTCTCATGTCGTTTTAAATGTAACTGCCACCAAATGAGTCAGGTAACGGAAAGCAACGGAATAAGTACCTACTCATTTTGTCATTAAATAGTTTAATGATTTAGGAGTCTACTATCTCTACTCTCTATCTCTACTATCTCATCTGCTAATATTAACATCAAGTAAACTCACAAAGAGTCACCAGTGGCTGCACTTTGTTGTTTCAAAAAATTCTTTGCCAACACCAAATCGTTATTGAGATCTGGCATAACATTTTCCGTTGCTGCTATTATGTCCGGCTCAAGTAAAAATGTTTGCGACATCTTTGAGCCTTCTTTAAATATAAACTAATTAATTATTACGAAATTATATAAAAATAATATCTCTATGACAAATCTTGCTTGACGCCCTTTTGACGCTAGATTTGTTGATAATTTGATAAATAAATAGCCACAGGTTTTTAGCGGTCAATAAATGAAAGAAATGTTGTTTTTTCCATAAATTATTAAAGTCAGTAAAAGAATTTATGAATTTTACTAAGTTCAACATAATCAACATAATAATTAGTTAGATATAATAATTATATAGTACTTTGTTAAATATAGATCTTTTTTTGATTTATGATCGCAATTTTAAACAAGTTATAGCTTTAAGAAGTACCTAGTAATAATTTTTAGCTAACTTTAATAAAGTAGTGAGTTAATGTGAACTATATTTTATAATAATGCATAAAAGTGTTTGTGATATTGAAGTGATTGTGATTATCTAGTTATAAGTTAAATTGCTGCGCCCTAACAGGGTAATGTACTGTACTGGCTGTATGTTATACTTGACATTATATGTACATTGTGCAATATGAATAAATAAATAAATAAATAAATAAATAAATAAACGTCTACCTACATACTTTTAGGTACCTACAATGTCACATATGTCAAATGTCAGGGTAATAATAGGCATGGGCGTTTTTGGTTTTGAATGCAAACTGATATTTATCCGATTTCAGATTTCAAAATCGATTTCAAAATCCGTTTTTTGAAATCCGATTTCTAATACGCCAAGCCTCGCCAATTCGCTTGCGTACGTAGATTTCGTTGGAATCAGATAGAGATTGCGCGATTTTCCTTCATGCTAGGCTTAGGACTAGCGGAAAAGTTTTATTTAAGATTACGCGTAAAACTTTTCTGGTGCATTTAAAAATCGGCATATTTACAATAATTTATATATATTTTTTATTTGTTTTGTTTTTTTCACTGTTCAATAATACTTTTTAGTCACCTATTCTTTTGTGTAACAATTATTTCCCAACATAGACAGCCCTCGAGTTGTTGTGTGGCGTTATGGCTCGATAACATTAAACCAAAAACCAAAATACATCAACGTATAATCTCGAAAATGTAGTCTTTAAATACATAGCAGTAAAGATGATATTGATCGCATTATAATGACAGTTAGATATCCGAGAACCGAAATCTAAAACGAAATTCGCGCTATCTTTTTTATTCCGCTAAAGTTACGATAAGTTAGAAAGAGAGAAAGCTAATTTCTAACAAAATCTAAAACAAAATTCGCCCTATCTTTTTTACTCCGCTAAAGTTACGGTTAGTTAGAAAGAGAGAAAGCGAATTTCTAACAAAATCCAAATGCAAACTGGTAGGCAGTTTGCGTTTTGATTCCGTTTGGTGATGAGATTGAGTGATTTTATTGTCGATTCGTTTGGTTTTGGTGGTAGATCGTTAGCGTTTGGTTCGGCTAGGTAGATTTTTTAAATCCAATCTTCAAGTTTGAGAAATCGATACGAATCGATTTTTGTATGAAATCGGATTTTGAATTCGTTTTGATATATCGGACCCATGCCTAGGTAATAATATTTTTGGCAAATTATCAAGCATCAAGTGGAGTTGTACTTTTCCACTGAAGTAAATATGTAAATATTATAAAATAAGCTTATTTTCGTGATATGTCGTTCAAAGAATAAACTAAGTATTTATTTTATTAACTACTTTCGGTTAAACCTTCAGTTTTTTAATACCGTACTTCAATCCAAAACATAACCTCAAAATCACAACAACTGATATAAACAAACCAAGAAATGGCTACAAAATTCGATGTAGCTGCGTATAATTTCCGGAAGAAATGTCCGTTCGTAGCCAAGGACCTTCTGCGCTGGTTCCCCGGACATATGAACAAAGGTTTAAAGCAAATGCAGCGTAAGTTAAAGAGCGTTGACTGTGTTATCGAAGTCCATGATGCAAGAATTCCATTTACGGGGCGTAATCCTATATTTACCAACACATTAATAGGTGCAAAACCTCACATACTAGTGTTGAATAAGAAGGATTTAACAGTACCATCGTTAATACCGCGGATATCAGATAAATTGAAAGCTGAACAGAATGTACAGAATGTCATGTTTACGAACAGCAAGGACCAGCACTGCAAGGGATTGAAAAAGTTAAAACCGTTAATGGTTGACTTGATAAAGTCGTCTAACAGGTATAATAGGAGTGAGGAACTAGACTACAATGTGATGATCATGGGGGTCCCAAATGTTGGGAAGTCTTCATTGATAAACATGCTGCGATCAAAGAATATGAGCATAAGACATGCGCTGCCTGTAGGCGCAGTGGCGGGCGTCACCAGGAGTGTCATGACCAAGATAAGAATAAATAATGATCCTGTTATATTCATGTTGGATACACCAGGTGACTTTTTTAGATTTGCTAATTTACTGGTTGTGTTTTCATTGAAATAATAAAATAGTAGTCCAGCCTTGCTGCAGTATATTCTAAGATTTCGTATTTGATCATATTTAATCATTGATGAAATTATCCAAAACTACCTACCTAAACTACCTACTATGACAAATAAATGATCTTTCTTTCTTTCTCTCTCTCTTTACTCACTGATTATTTTGCTCCAAACCAATTGCTATGGAGTGGTTTAAGTGATAGTTACTAAACAATTCTGAGTATGGGTGGTAACTCAAAAATTTAATCTGACATTAAAATCAATAAATAAATAGATAAATTAATTGTTAGGTTACTCATATATAACTATAACTTTTCACTTCAGACCACTTTTTAAATAACATGCATTTATCTAGTGTCCGTTACCCAGGCCAGATGTTGTCGACAATGGTCATTTGAATCTTATAGATAATTAGTTGTGCGGCTTCTGTAATTGTTGCGCACATTTTTAAATTTGTTGCGCTTATAGTTTTTTAATTATTTCACAAAAACATTTCCTGCTGGCGTAACGTTACCACAGCCAGACCTTTTTATTTCTAATGGGAATATTTAAATAAATATTAGCTATAAAATTAGTTGTCTAGATAAAGTAAATGTTGTGCCTTATTTTGTATTTGTTCTTTCTTCGGTTGCGAAGTTATTCGAGATTTTGCTGCGGTAACGTTTTTGGTTTTGCTAGATCTTTGAAATGGTTAAGCGGATTTTTATCATATTTTGTACACGACTTCCGAGGACTTAGTTTAAATTTGTTGTGCAATAACAAAACCAAAATAATGCATATTTTAAAGGTTTTTTCATTAAATAGAAAAACACTTCAATTGGCCCCAGCACTCTCAATAAGAAGTCTAAAGACTTACTTTAAACGTAATTTTAAAGCTTGTAACTGCCTTCAAATGTATGTGAAGTTTCATTAGTATCCCGTAAGTATTTAACAAGTTATGATGATATTCAGTTCTTCACGAGCACGGTCTTAATGCACGCGGTGTTATTTGGCCACTGGATTGGATATATGAACTGAATGTTATGTCAATAATTAGTTGTTTAGATCAGTTGTATATCAGTAAAATTTCAGCTCAATACATTGGATAATTAATGAGATAATACTATGAAAGTCATTAGGAAGTGAATGACCGTGGTAAGCCGACCAAGTTTAGGTGGTTACGAAAAAGCGAAAACGCAGAACATTGTACTATCTTTTGAAATGTTTAGTATAATACACCTTACAATTTTGGTACAGACGCGTACACTGTTTAATACCTATATAATAATAATATAAAAGAAAACATTATCTTCCAGTTCCACAAAATTATCAAAAATCACCGCTAGACCATGCCGTTCGGTAGGACGCAGGAGGAGTGGGGTGAAGGGGTAATACATTGTTTGCATAACGCACTCAGTCTTGCCAGAAGGTTACTTTTGTAACCTTTTAGATGATTTTTGAACTGCATTTTGAAATAGAAATGACAAGGACGGGTGATGTTTAATCGGTTGCTAAGCAACACAAGTTTTTATAAGTAAGGGAGTAAAAGTTCATTATTGAAATGATTATTTTACCTTTCAATAAAAAATCTTGAATAATCATGTAGTTTTTTTTAAAACTTTTGTACATGTCTGTACTAAATTTATAACACTATCCTACATATTTTAGAAGGTACCATAATGTTCTGCGTTTTCGCTTTTTCGTAACCACCTAAACTTGGTCGGCTTACCACGGTCATTCACTTCCTAATGACTTTCATAGTATTATCTCATTAATTATCCAATGTATTGAGCTGAAATTTTACTGATATAAAACTGATCTAAACAACTAATTATTGACATAACATTCAGTTCATATATCCAATCCAGTGGCCAAATAACACCGCGTGCATTAAGACCGTACTCGTGAAGAACTGAATATCATCATAACTTGTTAAATACTTACGGGATACTAATGAAACTTCACATACATTTGAAGGCAGTTACAAGCTTTAAAATTACGTTTAAAGTAAGTCTTTAGACTTCTTATTGAGAGTGCTGGGGCCAATTGAAGTGTTTTTCTATTTAATGAAAAAACCTTTAAAATATGCATTATTTTGGTTTTGTTATTGCACAACAAATTTAAACTAAGTCCTCGGAAGTCGTGTACAAAATATGATAAGAATCCGCTTAACCATTTCAAAGATCTAGCAAAACCAAAAACGTTACCGCAGCAAAATCTCGAATAACTTCGCAACCGAAGAAAGAACAAATACAAAATAAGGCACAACATTTACTTTATCTAGACAACTAATTTTATAGCTAATATTTATTTAAATATTCCCATTAGAAATAAAAAGGTCTGGCTGTGGTAACGTTACGCCAGCAGGAAATGTTTTTGTGAAATAATTAAAAAACTATAAGCGCAACAAATTTAAAAATGTGCGCAACAATTACAGAAGCCGCACAACTAATTATCTATAAGATTCAAATGACCATTGTCGACAACATCTGGCCTGGGTAACGGACACATTTATCTAAGCCTAAATAGCCAGCCATTTTTTGTGTCCCAGACATGAATAAATACCTTTGATTGTTTAAATAAATGAAAAGTCCTAAATTCTGACATATTTCTTCTTACAGGTATACTAGAACCTTCTGTGACAGATATTGAGATGGGCCTGAAGCTAGCACTCTGTGCCTCTCTACAAGACCACCTGGTAGGTGAGGAGATCATAGCCGACTACTTACTGTACTGGCTGAATAGCCACGGACAGTTCAAGTATGTAGACTACATGGGGTTAGAGGAGCCTTCAGATGATATAAATAAGGTCAGTATTTTAGTAGAACAGGTTGTTATGACATATAAATGTAAAGCATGACCCCACTACACTAGGCTAGCCAGGGTTGCGAGGTAAGCGCAATGAGGCACCGCGACCTCAGCACAGAGCAGGAGAAGGAACAGGGGGGTTTTTAGTCAGTAAGAGTTTGACACTCCCTCCTGCCCTGGGCGGGAGAAGTGATTTGATGATTTTCCCCTCACAAAAAAAAAACTACACTAGGCTATGATGATTCCATTTCATGGGTGCATTTACAATTCCACTTACAGTGAGTGTGTAAGAGAGCCATGCTTGAATGGGTGGGCTGGACCAAAGTGATCCCATGTCCTTACAGGAAAACAGCTTGAAGCAACACATACGTTGTTTTTCGTCGTGTGAGTGAGGTTACCAGAGGCCCAATCATTCCCTCCTGCCCCCACCCTCTATCCTTAAATTACCCACAAGCAACACACTCGATACTTCTTTGGTACTACGAGTGTCCATGGACGGCGCTGATTGCTTACCATCAGGTAATAAGTCTGCGATTTGGCCGATGTATGGCATAAAAAAAATACATTAGCACCACTTAACCAATAGTAGCCATACAACCCATGTCCTATAAGACGAAGTGAAACTAACATTTATTTCTAATCATTCTAGGTTCTGATCTCTGGTGCTATCAAATACAACAGAATCCGCAGAACAAGGGACTTTGACGGTCGAGTCCGAGATGTTCCAGACCTGCTTGAAGTTGCAAGGACTATGATCAAGGCATTCCGAACTGGAGAGCTTGGCAAGATGCTGCTAGACATAGATCTGCTGGAAGAGAAACATTTTGTGGTTGATAAAACCTTAGCGTAATGTTAATGTCTTGTAATGGTGTTAAAGGACACTTTTATGGTGTTTTTTATGCAATGGCATGGTGCCCCAGGCGCCTTACGCGCTCCCATTTCTCATACATGCATCATTTGAAACCTGGCTAGTACCAATGTGAATTTTCCGAACTATATGTACTTTGTAACAGTAACGCAGGAAAATACGGACAAGTAAACTTAAAAAAAATATACAAATATAATGCACATACCTATTTATTATAATGCTGTGTAATTCAGTTCTAGAGAAATATAAAATTATATGCGATTGCTATGTCAATAAACCCTGTAAATAATTGTATAGATAGTTATAGTTTTATATTGTAAGGTAGATAGTTACAAATATAATTGTTGAAATCAGTTGTGGCTTTTATTTAATGTCTTGATATTCTACATTCTAGCCTGAAACTAAACTGAACCTGATAATTATTACAAAATAACTGGAGGGCAACCATGACATTCAAAATAAGACTGTTTTAATTAATCTTACTTCAGTGTGGGTAAGAGACAGAGCTAGACAACTTTTAAAGCTCTTTCTCTTACCCACACTGAAGTAAGATTTAAACAATCTTACTTTGAACGTCATGGTTAACCCCCTGGACTGGGTGTACACTGACTGAAGACAAGACTAGTGGGAGTAGCCCCCAGTTCATTGGTGTAAAGTGAATGTATAAAGATACTAGGTTTAAATACTCCTGTCCACTCCTTTTGGGTAGTAACAAGCTCAATATTAAGTTCATTCACGTATGTGATCACGTATATTTATTTATGTAATACAGTATTCCAAACGAAATCTGTTACCCTGAGCATGACCTCTACGACCTCTAACAATCGACCTTCATTCTTCTTCTTCTTCTTCTTTTTGTTTATGGCTCCTTCGTCATTCGAAGATTTTGCCAACTTCGAGGTAGGAAATGACACTGTGATCGGTGTAAAAAAAAACGAAAGTAATGTAGGTAACTAATGACCGGTAATCAGTGATGTTTGTAGTGCTGGAAAAGGACAAAACAATTTGTTAGTTTTAACGACACAAGGGTTAAGACACAAAACGAAGGGGAGTAGAAAGTAGATGTTTAGGTTAAAACTAAATGAAGAATAAGGAAAGGGAATATGTTATATTAAGGAAAATGTAAAAGACTATGTACAAAGACAAGTGTTAAAGTCGGATGTGATTTATATTGATAAATTTGTATAGGATCTTTACCATGGGGGAATGGACTAGGGTTAATAGGAATGGGATATTTATTGGACGGGGGATATCATTAGGGAGGAGATCATAAAGAGGGGTGATCAGGCGAGGACATGAAAAAAATAAGTGTTCCAGAGTACCCTCTTCCAAACCACATTCACAGATAGAATGATCTCTTACTCTGATTTTAGCTAGAAAGACAGGTGAGCATACAAAACCTAGCCTTAACCGAATGATGACAGAGGTAGTTAATTTGTCAAGGTGTTTGTATTTACCAAACCAGGTTTTATGGGGAATAGACGGTTGGATAGTGCCGAAGAATTTGCCTTTGACTTTTCGTGTCTTTTGCCAAAGGGAATCCCAACTCTTCGTCATAGCGGGTTTGGCAGTACAACACAGATCCCGAGGAAAACAAATTTTGAGGTAAGAGTCCACACCGCAGTGAATTGCTGCCTTGGCAAGCGAGTCAGCGTTATCATTGCCCACAATTCCTGAGTGACTAGGGATCCAAGCAAGAACAACTTGTATACCTGACGTGTGGCATTTATATAAAAGCTGCTTGATCGATGGATTGGAGGGAAATTATAACGAGAGCGAAAAGGGGATTTAACAAGGTCCTGCAAACAACTTAAAGAGTCCGAAAGAATTAAAGTTTTGTTTAGACTGTGGGATTCCGCATATTTGACCGCTTCTAATAAAGCGATTGCTTCCCCAGAAAAAATAGAGGACTGAGAAGAAACTTTAAAATTTAAAATAATTTTATATTTTGGTATCCAAACAGCAGCACCCACAATACTGTCTTCTGAAATTTTGGACGCGTCTGTAAACATAGTGAGCCAATCTGGCCAGTCCTCCGTTAAAATCTTATTTAACTTGTTATTGGCACCGGGGTCGTTTTTGCAAATGCCAAGACTAAAAATAACCTTTGGTTGAAAAATCAGTGATTCGAAACTAACTTCAAAAAGCGGGTTGAAATTAGACTGGCATAAAGAGATGGGCAAGTCCTGGGTTGATCGGTAACTATTAACAAGAAGAGGGGGATCTTTGTGGGACCAGTAGCGGGAAGACTGGACTAGTTCACAAAGAGTTTATAAGAGGGGAAGAAGGGGGTGGGATTTGATTTGGATGACTTTGAAAAAAAATCTGTCTGCGAGGAATTGTCTGCGTAAGGAAAGAGGAGGATCCAGGCATTCAACCTGTAGGGCATTTGAGGGAGAGCATTTCATGGCACCTGTTATGATTCGAAGGCATTTGGCTTGAATTTTGTCCAATTTATACATAGCGATTTTGTTGCATGGCTCCAAAAGAAAGCTGCCATAGTCGAAATGACTTCGCACTATGGCATTATATAAAATTTTTTGGGTGGCAGGGTGAGCGCCCCAGCGAACCCCCGAGAGAGCACGTAAGACATTCACGCCCTTTTCGCATTTTTTACTAATGTAATCGAGATGATGGAGGCCAGATAATTTTGAGTCCAGAATTATGCCAAGGAATTTAACTTTGTCACAGATCAAAATGGTTTCATCTTCAATATATAGATTAATAGGGGGGATGTTACGTTTACGTGAAAATACTACAGCGTTACATTTGGGGACAGATAGGGATAGGCCATGATCATTTAACCATTGGTTTAGATAGAACAAAGCAGAATTCAAGCGGGAAGAAGCCTCTGTAAGAGAGGACGAACTGATATAAAGAGAAATGTCATCTGCGTATTGAAGGATTTTACAGAAACAGCTAATTGAGGATTCTAAGTCGTGGGTATAAACATTATAAAGGAGAGGGCTTAAGACCGAACCCTGGGGTAGGCCTTTCCAGACTAAGCGGGGTGAAGAGATGGAATTTTGATGTCGAATTGATATATAACGAGACATTAGCAAGCTGCAAGTGATGTTAACCAGCCTCACAGGGACACTCAGCTGATGCAGTTTCTGCCTGAGTATTGGAAGTTGGACATTATCGTAAGCTGACGTTATATCAAGGAAAACGCCCAGGACGCTTTCGTTTTGAGAGAAGGCAATTCGAACATCAGAAGTGAAGATGCTCAGACTGTCTAGGGTACCCCTTCCTCTTCGGAACCCAAATTGGGAAGCGGAAAGTATGCCCTTGGACTCTAAAAACCATTCCAACCTGTTCTTTATAAGGTTCTCCGCGATCTTAGCTAGAACAGAAGATAAAGCGATGGGTCTGTATGAAGAAGAATCTTTTGGATCTTTGCCAGGTTTTAGGATCGGGATAACTATTTGGGATTTCCAAGATTCTGGGATGAGGCCGGAGAGGAAGAAGGAGTTGATAAGGGCAAGGAATATTTGTTTGCAAACAGGAGAGGATTTACAGATGAAGGAGTACGGGATGCCGTCTATGCCCGGGGCTGAGTCCCGAAGATGTTCCAAAGCAAAAGACAACTCAGAAAGAGAGAATGGATCATCAAATTTATCAGAGGGAAGGGAAGGAGAGTCCAAAGAGGGAAAGCATTCTAAACTAGGGACAAAGGGGGGGGGCCAACTTGTTTATGAAGTCCTCTAACCAGCAACCAGGATCGTTGGATGAGATATCTGGTGAATGGTCGTCGCAGACTCTGCGAAAAGCTTTGATTTTTTGCCAGACTAGGGAAACTGGAGAGCGAGGGGATAATGATTCGCAGAAGTTGTGCCATCCATCTTTCTTTTTCCTTGCCAATAACCTGCGGGTGTGGGCAGAAGTTTTCTTGAAATTTAGGTAATTGGCCATGTTTATAGAGGACGCATATCTTTTTTCTGCCTCCTTTCGTTTTCGAACGCTGTCAGAGCATTCTGCATCCCACCATGGGGGGAAGGGATAAATTTACGGGCGGAGTTCTTTAAGGGAATGGAAGAATCAGCCGCTCGTATTAAACAAGCGACAAAATCCTCATACAAGGCAAGGCAATTTGAGGAGTTCACCTGGGGAAAGGATTGAAGATCAGAATCTATCAGAGAAGAAAATTTATCCCAGTCTGCTTGGAGTAGGCGATATTTCTGAAGAGGATTGATGGGAGGGGTAGGAGAGTAGGAATTATGTATGGAGATTAATATTGGAAAGTGATCACTGCCATATGAGTATGGCAGGACAGACCAGGAAAGAGTAGAGACTAGGGAAGGAGACGCAAGTGAAAGATCAGGGACACTAACATTTTGAGTAGGGGAAACCCTACGTGTTGCTGAACCATCATTGAGGACACAGAGATTTAGGTCATCTAGGAGATCTAATAAAAAACTGGATGAGGGGTCATTGATGGGAGAACCCCAAAGCGTGTGGCGGCAATTAAAATCACCTAACACAACTTCAGATAGAACAAATTCAGATAGAAGGTTGGCATTAGGGTGAGGAATGTAAGCAGAAACAAAGGAAATATCCATGGCTCTGATGGCAACAACATGAAGTCCGGGAGAGTGAAGAGGAATGAGGATTTGGGAAAAGGAGATAGACCTACTGATCAGCAAGGCGCATCCCGCCCGCCCATCGTCTCTATCGTCTCGGAGACACGAGAACCCAGGGACTCTGAAGGGGGATCCAGGTCTGAGCCATGTCTCCGACACCGCAAAGAGGACAGGAGTGTAGCGGTTTATTAGATGCAGTAGGTCGTGTTTTTTTTGGCGGATGCTTCTACTGTTCCATTGAAGGATCTTGGCCATTCTTTCGGGACCAGGTTTGGAGCAATTGTTCAATAAGGACTAAGACATTGTTCGGTAGAGCGTCACTAAATTTAGAGAGAATATTAATGAGGGAGCAAAATAATAACTCGATTAGATTGTCATTAGGGGTAGGAAGAGGAGTTGAATCCGAAAACGTGGGATCTTTAAGAGCACAGCCGTTGGGCTGGGAGGAGTTGGGGGAAGAAACAATCGTCCTATGAGCTTGGACATCGTAAGACTTGCCCAGTGCGGGTCTAGATCTAGGGGAACGGAATATGGTCTTGGTATAGGATGTTTTGGAGGGAGAAGTAAATGGAGGGGAAGAAGTTGGGGGAGGAGCTGTAAATAGTTGGGAGAAATTAAGAGAAGGAGCCTGGGACATTTGGGTTTGTGGAATGTTCGCAGCAGCGTCGGAGTAGGACCGTTTAGAACGGGGAAATCTAGTAGATGCCTCACTATAGCTTAAGTTCTCTTCAGACATAACCATTTTAATGGATTTCTGTCTGGAGTGCTCGGGACAGAGATCATCTGTAGCCTTGTGGTTACCACCTTCACATAGAATACACGTAGCTTGTGAGTCGGGGACATTGCATGTATCACCAGGGTGTGGCTGGGCACATTTGAAACAGCGGGGTTTCGACCGGCATTGAGTGCGGATATGACCGAAGCGTAGGCAGTTGCGGCACTGAATTGTAGGCAGATGGTAAATTGAAACAGGGAGAGAGGCGTTGTAGCAATAGACCTTCTCTGGAAGTGTTTGCCCAGAGAAAGTCAAAACTACGGTGGAAGAAGGCGTCCAATAAATTGAGTCTTCCTTTTTATTTTTAAAATTGAGGCGTCTAGCTTTGATAACTTCCCCACAATTTTGAGGAGTTTCTATTCCCGAAACTAAGTCCTCCAAGGTCCAGTCAGTAGGAATATTCCTCACTATACCCATACGGGTTACTTGAAAGCGAGGAATCTTAGCTGTGAAATTGTTGGCGGAAAGGATATCATTATCTGCAAAGGAGTTGGCATCAATGGCAGATTTAAACTCAATAGAGAGCTTATTACGGCCTAAAGATTTGATTCCTCCTTCTGTGATTCCCTTGATGTTGTTTTTGTGGAGAAATTGCGCGAACTTTAAGACTTTTAGCGTTGAGCCAGCAGCAGGATCAGGTTCTATTTTCGACACAAAAACAGTAAAGGGTGCTCTGTCACACTCATTGTAGGAGAGCTTGGAGTTTGTTTCAAAGCCGGGCTTAGTAAAAACAGATTGAATTGAGTCAGACGGAGGTCTGTTTTTCTTAAACTCAATATTCGACTCCGAATCGGCAGGTCGTTTTAAGGAGGATTTAGTCTGCTGGTTTACACCAGAAGCTAAAGGACAATTCATTTGAATATCCGGAGGAGTTCCTCCACCCCCATCAGGGGGTTCCTCGGCACTCATTTCTCACGAAATGAGTATCACAGGAAAAAGAAATCTTAAACCTACCTTATAAATAACCCTCACCAGACAACAAAACAAAGACAACACTAATAACTATAGTCAGACTTTTAATTCGATTCCTGATTTGACATTGACCACTGTCATTTTGTGAAATAATGATACCACATATAACAGTGTAGTGATGAACACAAAAATCGATAAACAATCAGTGAATCAGTTTCAGGAAGGCATTCAAAAAATTACGGCTACCGAATGGTCTAAATGTGTATCCCATGTTTTCAAAGAAGAGGAAAAAATGAGTAAGCTAGATATGTTAATTGACAATAAATATCAAAGACACAATTCATAATAAATGTTACATAGAGTAACGGCGATAGCGATAGCGATGACAGCGACAATTTATAAAATGTCTGTTTTATTTGTTACGTTCCTTCATGATCACATTTTTATTAATTTCACACACAATAACAAAGAAAAGTCTCATATCGTTAATTAATTGTCAAAACTAAATTATCGGTTCAGAAATATTTTATTTCCTGATAAACTTAGTTTACGAGATTAAAATTTATAAACGAGAGGAATCGATTCAGAAATATTCGATTTCCATATCGAATAATTTCGCAACGTCACTATTTATTACGTGTCATAACGTTGCAACACTGAAATTGTCAAATCTGGAATGGAATTAAAAGTTCGAGTATAATTTGCAAAAACAGAATTTGAGGTTAAGTAAACACACCGTGTCAAGACCAAACCTCTGATCCACCGTTGTGCGACCTTCATTCATAAAACTACACGATTTCAAATTCAAAGATTTGACGTCTATAGATGTCAAATTGACACATAATATTTTTTTATACAAATATGAACTAAAAATTAAACTCGAAAAATTATAACGATATTTATTAAAAAAAAATAACAAAGTGTATCTAAATATCTCTTTAAAAAAATCATAAAATTTTACTAAAAATCTTTGAAAATAATGATAAGTTTGCATTAGTAGTGGCTAGGGTGAGCAAGTCTCATCCGAATAAAAATGGACCCCTTGGAGTACATAGAAACGTTCATGAGTTCCATACAGGAGTACCGGTGGCTCATAGATGTCGCCAACGACTGCTATCCAATCGCTATAATGTCTAAAATACATACAGCTTGAAGATAATGATATATGAACAAGAAAGTGAAGAACTTTGCAATAATATTGCATCCAAGGAGAGCAGAGGTAGCATTTCAAGGAATTCGAAATACTTGTTAGAGAAGAGTTCTGATAGTATCCACAGCAAGCAGTCTTCCGATACATTTTCGACGACTGTAGAAGCAAGATCTGATATTGAGGGTGCGACGAGCAACACCCTGAGCATGGTAAGCACGCCCTGGACCACAGAGAGCGAATATTCCTTTACACAGCCATCAGGGTCTACGAAGATGTTAAGATCTTCATGCGACTCGTGGACTCACGAATTTAGTTCCAGTTTCGTCGGAAAAACTAGTGCGTCCATCACAAACGATTGGCAGACGGAATCAGGATCATTGAGTGTAACCACTCTGCCTATATTTAGTTTAGCGCCGACACGACACGGCAGCCAGCTGCAGGTGTCTTCAGAGAGCTCGCGCAGCACAGACAGCTCCTGGACGCTAAAGACGCTTACAAACATGAGTCAGCTTTCCAGTCAGTCCGATCGTCAGATCCTCAAGGTCAAGTACCCGTGGAGCCCAGACACTCTGTGCAGCGGTGCAGACGAGTACCCAAGCAGCATTGACTCCCTGGCCTCTAGGAAGGGAAGTCGTGTCGACGTAGTGACATCTATCACGGAAGAAATATACTATCCGATGAACTACATTACATTGACGCATCAATTCGACGAAAGTCACATGTTAGATTGGGCACTTACTAAAGAAATCGGTTTCCCTTATGCCTATACAACCAATTTAATAGACACCAGGGTTTAAAAAAAATTGCAAAAACGATTAAAAAATTTATTTACCAACAAAATAGTTGTTTACATTAGTTTCCTTAAAATGAGGTATTAGTTGCATTTATTTGTTTATTAAAATACATAATACAGCTTATTGGCTGTGTTCTAAAAATTGCATAATGATCACATATTGGCAACTTCGTAATTAATTCTAGACCCGAACGATTTAAAAGCAATTACATAAAATGCTAAGAAAATACACTTTTTGTACCAGAAAGTCACCAGAACTAATGAAACTAGCATTGTATTTGCCAATTATCTAACAAAACAAAAATATTCAAACATCTGATAAATATAATATAACATATCTGTTCCTTTTTTAACTGGAATATAGATAAAAATACATATTTGAATTACTATCATAACCAACTGCGAAATATGAGGGAATCCGTGTATTTAATAATAATAATAAAACATGACACAGAAATATACACATTATAAATGCCGTCAGCGGACGCGTGTTCATACGAATTTAAAATTAATGAAAAACAATATTGGGTTACAACAATGTATTGTTAACATTTTTGTAAAGTTGTTTTAAATAATAATTTGCATATTGTATTGAATTTTTTAAACACCGGACTAAGAATAGGTATTGCTACTTAGCAAAATGATGATAACATTGTTTGTACATTTATTTTTGTAGTTTTCGGTATCATATACCAACATAAATGACCTAGGGCCCATTCAAATGTGCGAAACTACATTATCGAGGCTTAACAGTAAACGGATCTAATGCGACGCCAGCGCCTCTAGTGGCGTACAAATTCTCAAGTTTGGTATAACATTTCTGAGTTGCAAAATGGCACTTTTGGGTATTTTTCTTAGTCCAGGTAGCTACTTATACATAAATAAAATGTTTTTACTTATTAGCAATACCGATGACAGATTTGAAGTATTTAGGTTCAGATAGTGACTCAACGAGGAAGGTGCCCAGGTCTCTCTTGGAAATAGTGCGTCCTGGAGAACTGGTAGGGTTGATGGTCACTGTCACCTCACGGCTCGGCTCATCTGGAGACAGAAAATGCTAGTGTAAGTTGTTTTCCTAGGGAAGCCAATTGTAGCTTTGGGGTTAACAACCGACCTCTAACTACATATTCTCATATTTACTGTAACTCAAAATAGAAATTGGCAAGGAAATCGGTTTTGTAATTAGGAAAAGAGTTTTTTTAACAAAACTTCACACGTGAATCTTACAACCTTGAATACAGCATTATTTTCACACAAACCAACCCTGACATTAACTTAAAACCGATAAACCTCAGTCTTCTACTCAAGTTAAATAAAAGCAGCTTCTAAATATTGTGCCACTAGGTTTCAAATTGAGAAGGAGGACTTACCAGCGATATGAGGGGGGAACACAGCAATCCAGTTGAGAGGGCTTTCCTTCACAGCCTCGTACATCCTCTTGTGGTCTTCATTCAGATCCACAAACCTTGGTGGGACCTTCTCAGGCTCGTAGAACAGGAAGGCAGACAAACAAACAGATAAAGGTTTCACGTTCTTAGCTCTCATTGACTCTATGATGTTTTTCGTGCCTTCAGACATATCGGAAGTTGGTTCCAGAGAGTTTCTGGTGCCGAGGGCTACCACAACGCCATCCATGCCGTCGACGGCATCAGCTACGGAATCTGGCTCCAATACATTGCCAACGAAGAGTTCCACCTTGTCTTTCAATTCTGCTGGCATCCTCGCCTCGTCTCTGACGAAAGCTCGGACATGGTAGCCTGAAAACGAAAGGAGTCATAATATTAGAAAGCAGTTAATTATCAGTTTAGTCTTTGTTTTGCTGGTTCTTATAAGCTTACGGAGTCGATCAAATAATACTAAATGTGGCAGCGTTCCCGCACGTATGGTTCTTCTATTAAGTCTCGAAAAAGAAAGGGTAGAGATTGTCTTAAAGTGTGGGACAGATTATTTGATGGAACAAGGGCGTGGCCAGCCTTTTGAGGATTAGGAATATAAGAGCTCTGGGGTTTTCAGGATGGAGAAGGGAGACCTCCTATAACCATAGTCACTCGGCGAAAGAAAATATATTGTTTCATATTGGTGATGAACTTGTTAAATATGGGTGTCAGAAATAAAGTTTATTTATCTGCCACTACCTCTTTGAGGAAATAAAAAACGTGCTTCAATAGTAGGTATCTCATCAAAATTTCATCAGTACTTTTTACATAAACGAGAAAAATAATAACACACAATACATTTTTATTAAAGCAGTTTCAAAGTTAATAATACCTAGGTACTATGTACATACACAATGTTATTATTTGAATGAACAGGTGACCACGATTTCCTGATATTAATTTATGCTTATTCACCGTAAACCAGCATATAATACCTGTGTACTAAGTTATATAAATAGTCGGTTATAGGTAGATAGATAATAAATATGCATAATAATGTACCTACAATGTAATTATTGGATCAAAATCGACGACTCATGACATTATAGCGTTACAGTATATATATATTATATACTCGTACCATATAACATCAATGCAATATTTCCTTATTTCTACTCTCAACAAATGCTTAAAAAACTTTTATATAAATGACTTAAAAAAAAAAAAAAAAACAATCGTGCATAAAAGATACTAGTAGGTATAACTGTGGGAAAATCCTTTTTTTGTGAGAGGAAAATCATCAAATGACTTCTCCCGCCCAGGGTGGGGCAAAAGAGAGTGTGGCACTATGCCTTAAAAAAAACCTTCGTTCCTTCTCCTGCTCTAGGTCGAGACCCCGGCTGAACATTAGCCCTAAAGAACGTCTAACTGTGAGAAAAGCTTAGGGTGCTTGTTTTTGTAAGATTCTTGTGTCAGAATGTTCGTTCCCATATTCCTCCGAAACGGCTCGACCAATACGGTAATTTCCAACTATTGACTAGTTGGAAATTACCGTATATTCACTACTTTTATCCAAATGTTAAAAACGATACTTATCTATGAATGAAACACTGAGCTATAAAGCACGTCATAGTATTATTGCGTCAAATAGCTTACTTATTTCTTAATAATTAGCTATAAAATATCTAAAACTTAGTGAATCGATCGATCGATGAATAAAAGCATAATTATGTTTCAATATTTTATTGTATTGAAACGTCGAATTAATTCATTTTTGGCTTAAGAAACTAACGATCGAACCCGTGACACTTTGCGCGGCAGCCGGTTGCCCAGCCATCGTGTCGACTGTGCAGTCATACCTTTACTAATCTTTTGAACTTATCTTTACTTATCTTTTGAACTTATAAAGAACTAGCTAGAGAGAATTGTCTTTGTCGGTCACTGAACCTATAAGGCAGCGTAACTTATAAATTACCTACTTTATTGCGTCGACGATTGACAGTACCCCTAACCGGATGCTGAGTGGTACTTCCTGTTTGGTGCCCTGCGTATACGCATGTGTGTTTGTGTTTAAACAAGAGTTTAAAGTTTTACATTAATTTTTCCAACATTCATAATTTAAGACTAAGAAGATTATAAATCTTGATGATATTTTCGATGGTAAAAATAAAAAATGATGAGGTATCTTTTCACTCCAAAGTTGCAGATCTCGATGTATATGTGCGAGAATCATGCTTTGGTACGAATGGGCCGACGAACGGAGAGAATACGCGACCTCACAGAAAACAGACGTGACATACCAACCATAACGTTGTGTTTCACCCTTTTTTAGGTTATCGGAGGCCCAATCCCAAATCCCCCCCCCCCCAAATTCCCAAATGGCCGGAAACGCATTCGATACTCCTCTGGTGTCCATGAGCGGCGTTGATTGCTTATTAGAAGCGTTTTACCTACCAATAAAACGCATATTAATTTACTTACCTTATTCGAAGCTTATTTAATTGAGATAGGCACTACGTTTCCCGCCTTCACATTTCTATATATATCCATCTCTTTCTAAAACCTCACTTCCGCTTGGCAGTGGTAGGGAGGCTCGTAAAGCGAGCCTCGCCATTTTGAATTCATTGAGTCCAATTACCAGGCAGAACTTGTTCATAAGCTTCGAATAAGGTAAGTAAATTAATATGCGTTTTATTGGTAGGTAAAACGCTTCTATTAATTTGACTTGACCGTTATTCGAAGCTTATTTAATTGAGACGTGTTTGTTATCGCCTGGTGGAAGTGATGAAGACGCCAATGTGATATAATTAGGTAATTTGATATCAAATTGATATAGGCATGAATAAGTAAAACATAAGTATTAGACAGTTTATATTTGATGATCAAGACAAAAAATATAAATAATAAATCATATTGAGTTTACAACATCAATTATAATGATTACACAAAAGATAAAGTAATTACATTATTTCTAATCAACTGGATTTAATAATGCTGTTATTGACACGCGGTTAGTAGCGGGTCTAACCTCGCGCTTATAAAATTTGCCAAATGTATTTTCGGATCGCCAATTTCCTCTAGCAAGAATTTCCTCGAGGAGGTAATTATCGACCCAATTTTTAGAGGCAACAGCTGACCTAATACTCCCCGGAGATGCCCGAATACCGGCTTCTGTTAACAGGGACTTTATCCAGCCTGCAATTAGGGTTTTCGATGCAGGTTTAGGTTCACCTCTAATGTTAATAAACAAATTACCACAATTTGCAGCATTTCTTCGATTTTCGAGAAGCGAGATCGAATGCTTAGCCCAATAGACCGGGTCTAGATTTTTATTACATTTATTGGAAATTAATCTCCAACCAGACTGTCTGTAATCTACCGTATCAGTTTTAGATCCAAAAACTGGCCAAAAAATGACAACATCATCTTGATTAGAATAATTATTTGAGTCAACTCTGAGTAAAGTCAAATCATGTATTCTTCTACCGGAGCATAAGAGAAGAAGAGCAGCTGTATGTCTCTGCACTTGGAAAATATTATTTTCATCGATGCGTTTACTGTCCAGGAAATTAGCGAGGTCGTTTATGTTCCAAATAGGGGGCTTACAGTGAGGAACTGATTTCTGCAATGCTATAGACTTTAAGACATGTTTTACTAGGACGTTTGAACTTAACTGGCCGGAAGAGTCTGGGTTACAAAGGGTTGAAACCACAGATTTGTGTAACAAAATAGAATTGTACGATAATTTATTTATTAAATGGAGATCCGATAGAAATCTAGCTAAATCGCTTGCTGTTGGAGTTGAAGGGCTAATCTGATGCGTTTCGCACCAAACTAGCCATCTCCTCCAAGCAATACCATAAACCTTACGTGTAGAGGGACGCCACGACTTCTTAAGAAGCTCTAATTGATTATGATTCCAGGATCCTAACATCCCAGACCACCCCCACATTTCCAGACTTCCAGAGTCATTTTGTGGACGTTCGGCGGTGGTAGTCCTGTTGTCGTGTCGATCAGAACTTTCTCTAGGTGATATATTGTGAATGGGGCTGCTAGGGCACGCGATTTGATATCGGGTCGCCAAAACACTCGCTCCCACCGAGGTACTACCAGTAAGTACGTTCCCTGTGCTTGATTGAGGTAACCTAGGACTTTGGGAATCAGAAAAGGTGGAGGGAACAACCACGCTAGATTGTAATTCCACGTTCGGGAGAATGCATCGTAAAACAGGGCTTGGTCGTCTTTTTGGTCTAGTGACACGTAATTCGACACTACATGAGCTCGGTTGGACGCGAAAAGATCGACCAGTGGAACTCCCCATTTGGAGAATATTTTGTTCGTGCATTCTACCGACACATGCCACTCGGGAGTTATGCGAAACCTCGACAGATGATCTGCGTGGGCATTGTATATACCTGGTATGTGAAAGACTTTCATGTGCATTTGATATTGTTCTATGATTTGGAAAACCTTGCAGGTTATGTCCAGGAGCGGAGCTGACTTGGTGCCGCCCTCGTGACGTAGATATGCAACTACCGACTTGTTGTCGCTCTGAATCAAAATCGTCTTGTGTTTCAGGAGCTGACAATGATCTTCCAAAACTCTTAGGATTGCTATCATTTCCTTTTGGTTGCAATGAAGATCTTTCTCGGCTTCTGACCACAGACCCGACAGTGAGAGATTGTCCAGGCGAGCTCCCCAAGCAATGTCCGATGCATCTGTTGTGAGGAAATGCATAGGAGGCGGCATGTGTATGGCTGACGATTGCTCGCAATTTTGACGCCACCATATCAGGTTTTCTATAGCACCGCGAGGTAAGTTGTGCAATATCCTGTGATTCGACTTCAAAATTACGTTCAATAAGCTCAGAAGAGCTCGAAAATTGAGTCTTCCTTTCGGAACAGTGAAGCTCGCAAAATTGAGTAGACCCACGAGGCTTTGGAGCTCCTTGAGTGTCGTGCGCTCCTTCCACAGCAAATGATCGATTTTCGATACAAGAGCAGGAATTTTTTCGTCGGGAAGTCGTTTGCGATTTGCCCATGGATCCCAATAAATCCCTAGAAAGACTAAGTTCTTTGACGGCGTGATGATCGACTTTTCGTAATTGATCAACCAGCCTAACGTCTCCAGGGTATCGAGCAAATTTTTTACATGACCCCGGAGCTTGATTTCGTCCTGGTGAGCTATCAAAAAATCGTCGAGAAAGACTATTATCCTCACACCTCGTTGCCTGAGTGTCTGGGCTATCCAATTGGTTAGCGTGGCAAAGGTCTTGGGCGCTGTGCTCAGACCAAAGGGTAAACAGGTCATTTCTAGCAATTCGTTGCGATAAACTAAACGTAGAAACCTTCTGTGGCTCCGGGCCACAGGTACATGAAAAT